GCCATCATCATCATCATCATCATCATCATCATCATCATTACCATCATCATCATCACCATCATCATCATCATCATCATCATAATCATCATCATCATCAACATCATGATCGGGACACCGACGGGACACCGGCGGGACACCGGCGGGACACCGCGCGCCACCGGCCGCCCGGTGGAGAATCATTTGGTCCGGCCGCGCCTCAGCCACAGAGGACACCACCGGGACACCGGCGGGACACCGCGCGCCACCGGCCGCCCGGTGGAGAATCATTTGGTCCGGCCGCCGCCCACGCAGCTTCGCCTCGCCCGCACGCACGGCACGCACGAACACGAAACCGAAATCGATTTCCCGGTAGGGGGGCTCTCCGTTCCACTTCGATCTCACCCCCTCACCTCCGACATACATACATGCATGCATGCATGCATGCATGCATACATACAACCATACATGCATACACACGTACGTACATACATACATACATACGTACATACATACACTCATACACACATACATGCATGCATGCATGCATGCATTCATGCATACATACACATACATACATACATACATACATACATACATGCATGCATGCATGCATGCATGCATGCATACATACATACATACATACATACATACGTACATGCACACCTGCATACACATCCATACATACACATACACACAGTTATCGACCTGTCTACCTACCTACCTATCTACATACATAAACACATACATACATACATACATACATGCATACATACACACATACATACATACAGACGCATGCATACATACATACATACATACATGCATGCATGCATGCACATATACATACATATACACATACATGCATACGTACACACTTACGTACACATACATACATGTAAACATACGTGCATGCATGCATGACTGCATGCATACATGCATGCATATCATGTATTATACATATGTGTGTACGTGTGTACGTGTATGAGCGTATGCGTGTGCGTGTGCGTGTGTGCGTGTATGTGTGTGTGTGTGCGTGTGCGTGTGCGTGTTCGTGTGCGTGTGCGATACGTGTGCGCGTGGTTGTGTGTAGTGTGTGTGTGTATGTGTGTGTATGTGTGTGTCTCGTCTCCCGCGCTCTGAGCCCTCCGTCCCAAGATGACCCCCGAGACCGCTGGCAGGCCCTCAAGAGCTCCCCACGAGGCCCCCGAGTGGCCTCCAAGGAGGCGTCCGAGAGGCGCACTGGCCACTTCAGCACAGGCTCCAGGAGGCTTCTGAGAGGCCTCCCAAGAGACTCCCGCACGCATATCAGAGGCATCTGACCTACAACCAGGACGCGGCATATATAAATATAACAGTGCATACACATATATATATATGTAGATACATAAAAAGGTTAACCACACATACAACACATACATATATATATATATACATATATGTATACATATATGTGTGCAGTTCTACACATAGAAAACAAAGTGAAGGGGGCCGAACGGACATGCACTGCCCCTGGGCGCGTGGCTTGAGTGGGGTTCCGCGGTGCGGATTGTTGTTGAGCTGTTGTTGTATTGTTCTCGGTGTCGTCGCCCTGGCCCACGGCCCGCCCGCGACCATCCCCCAGCCCACCACGCGAGCCAACTGCCACCACCCGCGATCCAACCGCGGCCCATCCCGCACCCGCCCCCCAAACCTCATCCACAACTGCGGAGGGCTACGAACACGTGTAGATGTGTGTGACTCTCCTCTTCCGCGCTCTGCTCTCCCTCCCTCTCCTTACCTGCTCTCGCGGACGTGGCCACTCCGAGAGGATTGTAGCATTGATGGAGGTCTGATCATGCAAGGGCCGATCCATAGACCCTTGCGCACACACGGATACTTGCAGCTGCTTTGGTAAGCGCTGAAACACGATGCTGTCAGAAGCCGATAGTGACACTCGGCCGTGCAGGCTAATATGGTAAGCGAACCACGCGCGCGCTTCGCGCGCGCTTCGGTTCTGTCGAGTCACAGACCCAGGAATCGTTGTGAGAAGAAATTGGTGACGCGAAGCGTCGTGGGGGCGTCCTTGGACGTCTGGGGTCTCCTGGGGCCTCTTGAGGGGCCTCCTGGGGGCCTCCTGGCGGCCTCTTGGGGCGGAAGGCTCGAGCTTGCGGTTCGTGGTCCCCCTCTGGGCCCCCTCTTGGGCCCGTCTTGGGGCCCTCTTGGGCCATCTTGGGCGCCTCTTGGGCCGTCTTGGGGCCCTCTTGGGCTGTCCTTGGGCCTCCTTTGGGCCTCTTGGGGGTCTCCTGGGGCCTCTTGAGGGGCCTCCTGGGGGCCTCCTGGCGGCCTCTTGGGGCGGAAGGCTCGAGCTTGCGGTTCGTGGTCCCCCTCTGGGCCCCCTCTTGGGCCCGTCTTGGGGCCCTCTTGGGCCATCTTGGGCGCCTCTTGGGCCGTCTTGGGGCCCTCTTGGGCTGTCCTGGGGCCCTCTTGGAAACTTCTTGGGCCGTCTTGGGGCGGTCTTGGGCGCCTCTTGGGCCGTCCTGTAACGTCGGAAAGCCCAAAAGACAACTTTGTTGAAAATGTACGTTTTACGAAGGGAATGGGCCAATTTTTGCATCTAGGGGCCCTCTTGGGACGCATGTTGGAGGCTTCTTGGAGCCTCTTGGGGGCGTCCTTGGACGTCTGGGGTCTCCTGGGGCCTCTTGAGGGGCCTCCTGGGGGCCTCCTGGCGGCCTCTTGGGGCGGAAGGCTCGAGCTTGCGGTTCGTGGTCCCCCTCTGGGCCCCCTCTTGGGCCCGTCTTGGGGCCCTCTTGGGCCATCTTGGGCGCCTCTTGGGCCGTCTTGGGGCCCTCTTGGGCTGTCCTGGGGCCCTCTGGGAAACTTCTTGGGCGGTCTTGGGGCGGTCTTGGGCGCCTCTTGGGCCGTCCTGTAACGTCGGAAAGCCCAAAAGGCGACTTTGTTAAAAATGTACGTTTTACGAAGGGAATGGGCCAATTCTTGCGTCTAGGGGCCCTCTTGGGACGCATGTTGGAGGCTTCTTGGGGCCTCTTGGGGGCGTCCTTGGACGTCTGGGGTCTCCTGGGGCCTCTTGAGGGGCCTCCTGGGGGCCTCCTGGCGGCCTCTTGGGGCGGAAGGCTCGAGCTTGCGGTTCGTGGTCCCCCTCTGGGCCCCCTCTTGGGCCCGTCTTGGGGCCCTCTTGGGCCATCTTGGGCGCCTCTTGGGCCGTCTTGGGGCCCTCTTGGGCTGTCCTGGGGCCCTCTTGGAAGCTTCTTGGGCCGTCTTGGGGCGGTCTTGGGCGCCTCTTGGGCCGTCCTGTAACGTCGGAAAGCCAAAAAGACAACTTTGTTGAACATGTACGTTTTACGAAGGGAATGGGCCAACTTTTGCGTCTGGGGGCCCTCTTGGGACGCATGTTGGAGGCTTCTTGGGGCCTCTTGGGGGCGTCCTTGGACGTCTGGGGTCTCCTGGGGCCTCTTGAGGGGCCTCCTGGGGGCCTCCTGGCGGCCTCTTGGGGCGGAAGGCTCGAGCTTGCGGTTCGTGGTCCCCCTCTGGGCCCCCTCTTGGGCCCGTCTTGGGGCCCTCTTGGGCCATCTTGGGCGCCTCTTGGGCCGTCTTGGGGCCCTCTTGGGCTGTCCTGGGGCCCTCTGGGAAGCTTCTTGGGCCGTCTTGGGGCGGTCTTGGGCGCCTCTTGGGCCGTCCTGTAACGTCGGAAAGCCCAAAAGACAACTTTGTTGAAAATGTACGTTTTACGATGGGAATGGGCCAATTTTTGCGTCTAGGGGCCCTCTTGGGACGCATGTTGGAGGCTTCTTGGGGCCTCTTGGGGGCGTCCTTGGACGTCTGGGGTCTCCTGGGGCCTCTTGAGGGGCCTCCTGGGGGCCTCCTGGCGGCCTCTTGGGGCGGAAGGCTCGAGCTTGCGGTTCGTGGTCCCCCTCTGGGCCCCCTCTTGGGCCCGTCTTGGGGCCCTCTTGGGCCATCTTGGGCGCCTCTTGGGCCGTCTTGGGGCCCTCTTGGGCTGTCCTGGGGCCCTCTGGGAAACTTCTTGGGCCGTCTTGGGGCGGTCTTGGGCGCCTCTTGGGCCGTCCTGTAACGTCGGAAAGCCCAAAAGGCGACTTTGTTAAAAATGTACGTTTTACGAAGGGAATGGGCCAATTCTTGCGTCTAGGGGCCCTCTTGGGACGCATGTTGGAGGCTTCTTGGAGCCTCTTGGGGGCGTCCTTGGACGTCTGGGGTCTCCTGGGGCCTCTTGAGGGGCCTCCTGGGGGCCTCCTGGCGGCCTCTTGGGGCGGAAGGCTCGAGCTTGCGGTTCGTGGTCCCCCTCTGGGCCCCCTCTTGGGCCCGTCTTGGGGCCCTCTTGGGCCATCTTGGGCGCCTCTTGGGCCGTTTTGGGGCCCTCTTGGGCTGTCCTGGGGCACTCTTGGGAGCTTCTTGGGCCGTCTTGGGGCGGTCTTGGGCGCCTCTTGGGCCGTCCTGTAATGTCGGAAAGCCCAAAAGGCAACTTTGTGAAAAATGTACGTTTTACGAAGGGAATGGGCCAATTTTTGCGTCTAGGGGCCCTCTTGGGACGCATGTTGGAGGCTTCTTGGGGCGTCTTGGGGGGCGTCCTTGGACGTCTGGAGGCCATCTTCAGCATCTCGGAGCCCTCTTGGAGGCCTCTTGGAAGTTTCTTGGGCCGTCTTGGGCGTTTCTGGGGCCGTCTTGTCTGACCGGGGAGGCCTCCGGCAAGCCCCGACGAGCCTCCGGGCCCCCCGGGGTGCACATTTGCGGTCGAGGTCCCGGCCCCGGGCCCCCGGACCCGGTGCGCCGTTATATGTATAAGCGGCCAAGGGTACAACAACGGCCGCGAAAGATGACCTGACAGTACACGCATTGTACAAAATCATGCGCTTGGTCATCGCCCTCTTCCTGCATGCCCTCCCACTGTACCCATCCGTAAACATAGCCTAAACCTCACCTTGCCCCCTTCCCCCGCCAACACCTCAAACGCTATGACTGACTTATGCCATGGCCCTCCCGACCTCTAAGCGGTCCCCGAAACAAAAACGAATGAAACAACAACCAACAGACCACCGTCTGGGTCTCACATTTTCTGTGGCGGAATACGTGTGAACTTTCGCATCCACCTCCGCCTTCTGCTCGTCTTATTCATGTCATCCTGCCTCTCGGGAAACGAATGGGGCACTCTCCCCTCCGCGAGCGGCACGGTCACACGGCCAATGAACGTGTCGCCTAGCTGGTCCACCTCGCACGCCAGCGAGAGCGGGAGGTCTCCTCCTCCTCCTCCTCCTCCTCCTCCTCCTCCTCCTTCTGCTCTTCCTCCTCCTCCATTCCTTTTCCTTAGGGTACCCCCCTGCCGAACCCGAGGCCAATCAAAAGGGCGGGCCAGCGTTTCGCCTGAGACTTCAAACCACTTGTGACCCTCAAGCTTAAAATCTAGAAGCAACTTCACAGGGCGGGTGGTTTTCAACATGAGGATCTTGCTTTTGCGCCACGCAAATGCGTTTCAAAAATTTGCAAGAGCTTCACGGGTTGAGGGTGGGTGGTTTTCAAAATGCGGCTCTCGCATCAGCGCCGCGCATACTCGTAATAACAACTCGCAAGAGCTTTACGGATTCAGGACAGGTCGTTTTTACCTAACAGCGAAGACTGATAGGTTTCTAATAGGGTCAAAAGAGAGCATCATGACTCCCCAGGGGGGTCTGGGCGGCATCCCGACAGGGATCCGCGGAAGTCGTTTTAAGCAAACAGTTACACACTTCGTGGTCTTCGAGGTCCCAGAACTCCATTCCCGGGCGACATTCTGAATGCCCGGAGCCAACTGTAGGCCACTTCGTGCTCTTCGAGTTCCCAGAACTCCATTCCTGGGCCACATTTTGAATGCCCGGAGCCAACTGTAGGCCACTTCGTGCTCTTCGAGTTCCCAGAACTCCATTCCCGGGCCACATTTTGAATGTCCGGAGCCAACTGTAGGCCACTTCGTGGTCTTCGAGTTCCCAGAACTCCATTCCTGGGCATGATATTGAATGGCCGGAGCCAACTGAAGGCCACTTCGTGATCTTCGAGTTCCCAGAACTCTATTCACAGACCACATTTTGAATGCTGAGGCAGGCTGATGCTGAGGCTGAGGCAGGCTGAGGCTGAGGCAGGCTAAGGCTGAGGCCGAGGCTGAAGGCAGACTGAGGCTGAGGCTGAAGCAGGCTGAGGCTGAGGCTGAGGCAGGCTGAGGCTGAGGCTGAGGCAGGCTGATGCTGAGGCAGGCTGAGGCTGAGGCTGAGGCTGATGCAGGCTGAGGCTGAGGCAGGCTGAGGCTGAGGCCGAGGCTGAAGGCAGACTGAGGCTGAGGAGGCTGAGGCAGGCTGAGGCTGAGGCTGAGGCAGGCTGATGCTGAGGCTGAGGCTGAGGCTGAGGCTGATGCAGGCTGAGGCTGAGGCAGGCTGAGGCTGAGGCCGAGGCTGAAGGCAGACTGAGGCTGAGGCTGAAGCAGGCTGAGGCTGAGGCTGAGGCTGAGGCTGAGGCTGAGGAGGCTGAGGCAGGCTGAGGCTGAGGCTGAGGCTGAGGCTGAGGCTGAGGCTGAGGCTGAGGCTGAGGCTGAGGCAGGCTGAGGCTGAGGCTGCAGGCTGAGGCTGAGGCAGGCTGAGGCTGAGGCCGAGGCTGAAGGCAGACTGAGGCTGAGGCTGAAGCAGCTGAGGCTGAGGCTGAGGCAGGCTGAGGCTGAGGCTGAGGCAGGCTGATGCTGAGGCAGGCTGAGGCTGAGGCTGATGCAGGCTGAGGCTGAGGCAGGCTGAGGCTGAGGCCGAGGCTGAAGGCAGACTGAGGCTGAGGCTGAAGCAGGCTGAGGCTGAGGCTGAGGCAGGCTGAGGCTGAGGCTGAGGCAGGCTGATGCTGAGGCTGAGGCTGAGGCTGAGGCTGATGCAGGCTGAGGCTGAGGCAGGCTGAGGCTGAGGCCGAGGCTGAAGGCAGACTGAGGCTGAGGCTGAAGCAGGCTGAGGCTGAGGCTGAGGCAGGCTGAGGCTGAGGCTGAGGCAGGCTGATGCTGAGGCAGGCTGAGGCTGAGGCTGAGGCTGATGCAGGCTGAGGCTGAGGCAGGCTGAGGCTGAGGCCGAGGCTGAAGGCAGACTGAGGCTGAGGCTGAAGCAGGCTGAGGCTGAGAGGCAGGCTGAGGCTGAGGCTGAGGCAGGCAGATGCTGAGGCAGGCTGAGGCTGAGGCTGAGGCTGATGCAGGCTGAGGCTGAGGCAGGCTGAGGCTGAGGCTGAGGCCGAGGCTGAAGCAGACTGAGGCTGAGGCTGAAGCAGGCTGAGGCTGAGGCAGAGGCAGGCTGAGGCTGAGGCTGAGGCAGGCTGATGCTGAGGCAGGCTGAGGCTGAGGCTGAGGCTGATGCAGGCTGAGGCTGAGGCAGGCTGAGGCTGAGGCCGAGGCTGAAGGCAGACTGAGGCTGAGGCTGAAGCAGGCTGAGGCTGAGGCTGAGGCAGGCTGAGGCTGAGGCATGCTGAGGCTGAGGCTGAGGCAGGCTGAGGCTGAGGCTGTGACTGCGACTGCCGTTGCCACTGCGACTGTCATCGCGAATGCGACTACGACTGCGAAAACAACAGAATTCTACAACTGGGTTGTCATCTGAATCTTAAGGGGAATGCTTCCAACTATGCTCCTACACATCGCTGTTAGGTCGCCTTGCCGGGATAATCAACAACATGTGGATCTCCTCTGGGAGCCGCACACATTCAGCTTCAAGATTCGAAAGAGCTTCACGGATGACGGGCAGGTCGTTTTCAACATGTGGCTCTCACCTTAGCGACGAACACATTCGCCTTACAAGTTCGCAAGGGGTTCACGGATTGAAGGCACACATTCTTCATAATGTGACTCTCGCTTCCGCGCCACGCATATTGGTCTAACGATTTCGCAAGGGTGCACAGATTGAGGGCTGCGCCCTTTCGCATTGTGGCTCTCGCACCAGCGCCGCGCACATTCTTTCTGAAAGATCGCCGAGGTTTATTCATTCTCATGGTTGACGTACCAGAGATGATGTGTTGGACTAGCTCATGACTGACAGGGCGCAACAGTTACGTGGATTCGCTGTATAGAAGTCCCAGAGTGGCGTTCTGGCACAAATCAGGATCGCCAATACCTCACAATCAGGATAACTCGCGCCGTCTTCCTGAAATCCTGAGAATGGTTTTCGGACAGGCTTCAAGAAGTTTGAACGGAGGTCCCCCAAGGGGGCAATTCCATCAATGGACATAAACCCTTGTAGGGGCCTGTGAAGACGGAGCGTGGAGGGAGGGTGTATTCCGACATCGCTGACAAGTCGTAGTTTTACACTGGTCCTCATCCTCTGCCTCCTCCTCTTCTTCCTCCTCCTCCTCCTCCTCCTCCATCTCCTCCCTCTCCACGGCTCGGCTCGGCGAAGGAAAGTGCTGCACATGAGCAGCCGGTAAGATCCTCCGCCACCTCCTCCTCCTCCTCCTCATCCGCCCTGCCCCCTCCTCTCCCTCCATCCCCCTCTTTTCTTCCTCGTGCCCACCCTGGGGTGATCCAAGCTCTCCGCAGCGACGCTGGGGGCCTTTTTTATTCGTCCTGGGCGACGCAAAGCTGGCTCAACCCTCATCCTCCTCCTCCCTCCTCCTCCCTCCTCCTCCTCCTCCTCCTCCTCCTCCTCCTCCTCCTCCTCCTCCTCCTCCTCCTCCTCCTCCTCCTCCTCCTGGGCGGGTACAAGGGGAGAGGGACGGGGGAGGGGGGGGGGGGGGGCGAAGCAGGTGGCGGCGATGCCGGGGGGGGGGCGGGCGCACAGCGGGATAGGGGAGGAGCTCCGCGCCGCCCCTCCAGCGGGGGGGGGGGTGCGAAGAGTCGGGGGCGGAATCCGAGACCCACCCTCGCCGATCCACGAATCCAGGCAACCCGATGGGCGGCGAGTCGGGGATGGACAGACCTCCCTTTAGTAAAACGTGGTTTAGTGAAAACGCCCTTGGGCCCAAACCTGGCAGACGCAACCCTGGAAAATAACGGCCACGGCGCCCTCTCGAAAACCGAAAACGAACAGTTCACTAATCGACGTGTCACTATTGGGGGTTCTGTCCTCCCCCGAGCGAGGGCAGGGTTCGGATGTCGCCACCTTTAGAAAAAAGCACAAAACACCTGGGAAGTTGCATCTTTCTGTGCAACCCTGGGTGAAGCTCGAAGAGGGACGCCCTGAAGGGAAGCATCATTCTCCATCAAGGGAAGCTCTAACAAACACAACCCTGGGTCTGGCAGGGCCCCCTGTGCAACTCCAATTGCTCTCAATCTGGGAATACTGCGCCCCATCTCCCCGCAGATCCAACCGGAACGGAGCCGCTCCTTTTCCCGCACATTTCTGTGCATCGGATGCCACACACCGCTTCTGTTCCACACGACTTCGCTTCCAAATCGAAGATTCCTCCGGCGTTTCAAAACTGCGTTCCCGCTGCAGCGTTGGCCTTGTCTTCTGATCGACGCTCTGTTCCCTAGGGAGCCTACAAAGGACGTACGCGCCCAGCTACGTGCATGAACACGGCCCCTCGATCCGCGAGACCGGCCGCGTTATACGAACATTTGCGCAATGCGTACTCTCGAAACCAGCGTGGAGTCATGTACGTTTACGTCCTTCTGTCGCTTCTGATTCCCGTCGTTCAGGATGGCGCTCTCGCCACGCTCCTTCCCCCGCCTCCGCCCTCCCCTGGCCGTCCCGCTCCTCCCGCTCCTCGTGCTCCTGCATCAGCTGCTGATGCTCCTCCTCGCTCGCCTCCTTCCCAGGCCTCCTCTCCTTCCCCCTGCCCCTGCAAGCCTTCCTGCCCATCTGCCGCTCCCCCCTCTCCTGGGGATACCAAAAGGTACCAATACCGCTACTCCCTGGACCTCTCCTGGGGTGCGTTCTGTCCAGGATTTCGAAGCGAATCCAGCGGTGGCGACGAGGGACTCCGCAGAGGCCCAAAAGGGGGAAAACGAGGCGAGGGTAGAGGTATGGGCACCTTTTCCTCATCTGACCTCCAATGCGCACCACTCCCCGTTTCTGGGGTAGGATGTCAGGTATGGTGCAGGCGCACCTACGTTCAGGAACCCTTGCGCAGCGTGTCGCCGCGGCGGCCCCGGCGAACGGCTATGCCTTGCGAGTGGATGACGTGTCGCTCCGCCCGGCGGGGCGGGAGGGCGAAGCTCGGGACGTTGACGCCTCGGGAGGGGAACATCGCTAGCGTGTCGCGCCGAAGAGAGGAGGCCAGTACCTGGGGAAACCAAAATACGAGACCGATGTTGCATCACAACAGCAATTCGGCCCCTGACTTTCGTCCTGGTATCAGTTTAGTGAAGTGATGAATTTCGGGGTCCTTACGTGGGAAAGCACATCACTTCACTAATCTGGGGCCCCTGGGGCCTCAATGGGCCCTGGGGCCCCAAATGACCGACGTGATGGTTTTCGGGCCTCGGACAAAAGGTCCCAATACCGTTACTCCCCGGACCTCTCTCGGGGTGCGTCCCGACCAGAATTCCGAAGCGGATCCAGCGGAGGCGACGAGGGCCTCCCGGGAGGCCCGAAAAGGCGAGGGTGGCAGTTCGCGGTATTCGCACCTTTTCCTCTTCTGAAAACCCGCAGCGCGACACGCCATCCCAAACATTCTCACCGCCATCCCAAGCACGCCCACATCTGACACCCCTCTCCGCACTCCCTGCGGCGACGCCCCAGTCGCGCCGCGGCGTAGGGACGTGGGACCGGCGCCCTGCGGAAAGACCGCCACCGCGCGCGCGCCCCACCAACAGCGGAGCCATTCCGAGAGCACTCCTGCAAGGAAGACCCGATGGAGCTCGGCCGCGAGCATGGAGGACCAATAAGAAGTGGCAGCAGCGGGACAAACCTGCGGAGGTCCGCGTGGAGTTCTTGGATCGGCGTCGGAGACGCCCAGCGGCGCCTCCGGCGCCGCCCCCTGGCACGCTCCGCGCGCCAGGGAAGGGAGGGGGGGTCTGTCGTAGATTTCGTGCCGTCCGCGCGCGTGTGCGCTCTGCCCCCGTCTCTTCAGCTGATTCCTCATTCGCTTCGCCTCTCACAAGACCAAATTCGCGTCGCGTCTGCGTAGCCCGCCCTCGCCCAAGCGACCCAGACCTAGTCTGCGTCCACTGACCGAACATGCCCAGACAACAAATGTCCCCATTTGTTTAGCACGTCCCCAGAATTCCTCAAGGCCGGGCTTTCGTCCTGAGGATTCTTGTCGACGGCCCTGGGGCCCTGCAAGGTAGCGGCTACCGAATACCGAAAACCACGAACACCTTCGTGCTTCCACAAATGACGATTCTTAGAGGGTTCTATTGGAGGTGGCCTGGAAGCTGTTTCGTGTGACATCATGTATTCATGAGTCGTGCTCTCGCCTCAAATCTGGCTACGTTTTTGGTCCAGACGGGCAAGACAATTCAAGATGAACATGGCCGTACTCTCGCCCCGGTCCCCTGTAGCCGACCTACGACTCGTCTCGCCTCTCCATCTGTGCTGCTTCCACGGTGCTCTGCTGGGATAAAGTTCGAGCTACCTGTCTGGGAAGTCGCCCCCTTGTTCTGAAGATCGGTTTACATCTTGTTCGGCGACAACCTGCGTCATCCGCGAGGGGGGGGGGTCACCAGACAAGGTGCAGTTATCTGGGGTCTGGGGGAGGGGGCGGGGGGCGGGCGGGCCAGACAAGCCGGTATGAGGCCGGACCCCAAACATGGAAGAGGAGGAGGAGGAGGAGGAGGAGGAGGAGGAGGAGGAGGAGGAGGAGCAGCATCCTGATTCTGCCTCCTCTGCCGCGGGGCCTCGTAGAGGTCCACCATGAGCAGCTGGTGCCTCGGGTTGTGCGGCAGGGACACTCGCCTCTGCAGGCTGCAGTCCTCGAGCCCGTGCCTGGCCTGACGGCACGCGGAAGGGCAGCGGGGGGGCGGGGGCCACGAGATCTGTCGCCGCGGAGAAAGCTGCAATCTCGTGGCAAATCGCCACGGATGGCAGGCTGCGTGTTCGATCATGGACCCCTTGTTAACCATTGCTTCTGAGCCGTCTTCGGTGGTCTTCGGCTGCCTTCGGCGGGTTTCGGCGGTCTTCTAACGGTCTTCGGCGGTTTCGGGCGGTCTCTGGCGGTGTCCAGCGGTCTTCGGCACGAAAGCTCGGCGGTTGCGTTCATCAGGGGGTCAGTGATCCAATACCTGAGCAAGGGGATTGGGACGTATGGGCGGGTGTGTCAAGGTGGGCTGTATAGATGGCCTGACCTGGCGTATGCCCCAAGCGGCTTCAAAAGGCTCTCTGCCCTCCGTATACCGCTCAAGGCGTGCAACACACTCATAAGCCCGCCAGCCCCCTTGTAGGATCATCAGGCTGCGGGGAGTAGGCTTGCTGCTCCCTGCTCCAGGTCCAGCGTCAATTCTCCCATGTCATAATTCTACTTTCTACTTCCCACTAGGAATTTTTACTGCCCGCGCGAGGGGGGAGCCCCAAACCAGCTTTTTACAATGTCCAAATCGCATCTCTTCATTCCCGCGGGGCCGTGGGAAACCAAATAATACTTGAGATTCGCGCCCCCGAGGCCACAATCCCCTTTAATTCACTCTATATTTGCATCCCCGAGGCCACGATCCCGTGTACATTACACAACTAGAACCAGCGCTGGTGCTGACACCGCGCGGACCGTGCAACCGCGAACAGTAACATTAGTCATGGCAAACATCTAACGATTTGACAGTTCAATTGATTGCAACGTCTCGCTAATTACAATGATTGCATGACAACTGGATAATGAGTTATGGCAGAATTCGCGGAAAGAATGCCAGTAACCACTCACGTCTGGTCATTGTTCGCGCCGAGCGGGAGCAATAAGACCATGGTGAAAAGAGGGGTAAGAAGCATCGTGCGCATCGCACCGCCATCCAACGTGATGTATCGCTTGACTACTCGGTTGCTCCGGGCCACCAGCCAAGCCACGGACGGCAGCATCTGGAAGAGGGCAACGCCGCACGTACCACCGACGATCGATATGATGCGGCCGGCCTTGCCCAGGCCTGTCGCGCAGCCCCCGGGCCGCGGGCAAGGCGCAGGCCTGGAAGGCCGCGCGGAAGCCCTGGAAATTCCGAGCACGGTCGGGAAGCGCGAGGTCACGGTCGTGAACATGAGAATGCTGAAGATTGGCGCTCTCAGCCCGTTACCCAGGACCACCGCTTGGCAGCCGACGACCAGCCACCCCCGCCCAGGCTGGAGAGAACGTTCGGCTGGACGCCTCCCCCGTGCAGCGCGTACCAGATGTCACTGCACCAACCTTGCAGACGTGCTGCAGTGGAATTTCGCATGGATTTCTGCCAATGCAAAACCCCGAAACGGCGAGCGAAAAACGAAGTGCATGTCACGTAGATTTGTGTAGTCTTCATTCCTGGCCAAAAGAAACCCACACGAAATCCGGAACGAAGTTCTCCAGGACAATCCAAGCCCATCCTATTGTTTTCCAAACGAAACTAGCTCTGCGATGTTGGCGCCATGACATATGAATCCCGTGACCACGTTCATGGAGAGGGCAGTAGCCAACGACGCGTCCATTATCCAAGTCGTGAAACGCGGGCGCTGCTTCCGCGGGGTCTCGACATTCTTCAAGTGTTCCAACCTTGTCACGCACACTGACGGCATGAGCGCCACGACCGAGATCATCCCCGCCGCTTCATGACTCAAGCTTGGCACCATCTCGGCAGCAGCACTTCAACTGCAAAACCTCGGCAACTGGCAGACGCCAGCAGCATAACTACAACGAGCAAAGCGAAGGTGGCATTGCCACCAAACGTGTCAGCAAAGCGCATGATTATGCTGCCGTAGTCCCTCTCGCCGGACGCGTCTGCAAGGAATATAAGCATCCGCAAGGAGGCCGCTGAAAGCAACGCTGGTATGCAAAGGATGATGCCTCCCAGTGCGGCACCACACTGCCCCATGATGCTGGGGGTGAGGATCAGGGTGCTGCCCATGCTAGTCATGGCCTCAAATATCCAAACCCCCTCAACGTGCACACGCCCTCCTCCACTGCGAGTGAACTAGACGACTGCCGCGTGAGCTGGAGAGTTCAAGGAAGACATGGGAAGCATGGAAGTTTTGGAGTAGTTTCCAGTGCTGTCCTGCCGGAGCCAATTGACCCTGTCGCGTGGCGGGGAGCCAAAGCTGCCCGGGCTGTCACGACGCTGCCAAGTTCCCGCGCTGTGCGTTGGGGCCAAAAACTGCTGACCCGGTGCCTGCCAGCCTGGCGCCTCCGCGCCGTAAACCGCCATGGCCGTCGTCGAGGAGGACTTGCCGATTGTGGCAGCAGCGTCCCCGACTGCGGCAGTCAAGTCATCACAGCCGATGTCAGCAACCGACGCAGCGTACCCTCTGAGTTTGGCAGTTCCGCCCAGACCTGGAGTCACACCTCCAACTTAGCCCCCCTCGGCGCCCATCGCAGGGATGGTCCTTTGGCGATCCTGGAAGCCATCGGGGCCAGCCCGGCGGAGAGCATCTGGCCCGCTGGTCTGGTTCCCATCCAAAGCGGGGACATCAATCACAATGTCCTCTGCTGGACACGGGGAGCGATTCACATGGCAGCATAGCTTAAAAGTACGCCGGCATCACGTGACTGTAGCGAATTCTGTTTTGCAACTTGTACCACAAGATAGCCGTCCCTTGAGCCGAAACGAATTGAGCCAAAATGGCACCGGCTTGGGGTTCAAGCCGGTGCCTTCTTGGACGCTCCAATCGGTCGCGGTGCGCCCCGTCCTGACCCAAGGACCAGGGGAGGGATCCAGCTACCACAAGCCGCAAGCCGCGTCCCTCATTCCCACCCGCCCTCTCACTACAGCGCAAGCATGGGCTGCCATCGATTTTTTTGACAGGCGCCCTGAACCCGAGCCAGCTCGGGCTGAGTTAAGAAAAGCTCGGACTAGTTTACCCCCCTGATGCGGTCAATCCGAGCTGTCTGAAAGGGGATGCTGGTCTGGAGCGTGCTCACCCTCCCCCCGAAGCTGTCTGCAGGCCTGAAAAAACCCTACAGGCTCGGCCCGAACGACAGCCTCAGACTCGCTCGCTTCGGCGGCGGGGTCAAACACTTCACAGAAAACTCCAGCCAGCCTGGGATGTCTCCCCCTCCGCAGCGCCCTCAGGACCGAGGGCGCGTACTTTGACTTCCTGGGCCCCTCGGGCTCTCGGATGCAAGACTTACTGAGCTTCTTGAATCTCCCACCGCAGCTGTACCCGCAGCAGAGATGACAAAAATAGAGCATGCTTTGATTCGAACAGAGAAGGGCCGTGATAACGTGGCCCTTATCCCGTATGGAAAGGGCCACATCAGGGAGCTGGCCCGAGCACCCTGAAAGATCAGGCTTCACAGACTGTCTGCGGCTGCGGAGACAAACACTGCAACGCCAGAACGTGGCACACCACAACCACTCATGATGATACTGCTCCGCAGGAGGGGGAGGCAACCCCAAAACACGGGCAGGGGCGATAAAATCAACTCCGTCGAGGTTGAGCCTAGGCCAAGACGGGAGGAGACGGGCTGCCAGCAGGCCAACGCTCTTGGCAACCTTGAGTTGCCAGTCCACAGAATCCAGTTCGGCCTGAGAACCTCTGGCATGCATGTCCGCTCCTCGCTTGGCCGCTCTGTCGGCCTCGTCATTACCAAGCTTGAAAAAACGCTGATCGGCCGTTAAATCTGGGGAATCCGCCACGTGGGCCTTCACCTTGTGAAGACTGGTCAACTTAGACTGAAGGGTATTAATCATTAACCCAGAGTGCGGCCGCTTGTAGGAGAGACGCTTGGGCCTCTCCAAAAGAAAAGCTTTGCAAACATTGAGACAATCGCTGAAACCTTCAGAGGGCCCAAGGAGGCAAAGAGACCCGTAGGCCAGGGCCCCAAACTCCGCCGCTTGGGAGGTCTGGGGGATGGGCTGCCATCAACAACCAATGGGAAACACTGCAGACGCCAGCCTGGTGAGCAGATAAACACCTCTCCGAAGGGGAAGAAGGAAGACTGGAAGAGGAAACTCCCTAAACCACCTCCGCACAGAGGGCTGGTGGGACTCAGGAGCCTCCCATTTCGGACCGATGCTCTGCAGGATGGATCCATGAAAGCCCCCACGGTTTCACAGAGAGCCTTCAAAAAGGCCCCAGGAGGGCCTGAAGGACCCCCAAAACAGCCATAGAATACATTCACGATGACTCCAAGATGCCTACAAGAGGCCCTCCAGAGATCTCCTTTCAGCTCAAATGTATGCTTGCCTATCGCTGCGTCATTCCTGCATGGGATGCGGAAGACCCATGAAGCGGACAGAACTACATTCGCGCATCCACCTTCCAGGGGTCGGCGGACTGGCCTAAGCCTCTGGATTAGGACGCCCAACACATGGCGAACACATCACATAATGTCGACACTAGAACCTCGATGTCCTGAGCCCACGACCCTCTCCTCCAGGAGATGGTACAGCATGCATACACGTTTTCGACATCAAGGACGTCTGCCCCAGGGCGGCTGGAAAAGTATACCCTGACGTGCCACCGTAGGGGTAAAAAAATACAGCCGCCCTGCGACAGGCCAGGCGTCCCCGATGGCGGAACAACTTACATTTAGACCGTTCTTCGTCCGCTAAGCAAAGCCCGCCTGGCTGGGGTGCCCCTTCGTCGCTGGGGTCTTGCGCGCTTCCACGTCCCGCTGCAGGTCGCCGGGGTAGTACGCGGTGGCGCAGTAGTGGTGCAGGCCTTTGGCGTTACTTCGTGGGGGGGCAAGGCCGGGTTGCTGGGTCGCCAGGTCGGTCGCCAGATCGCCGAGACGCCGGGTCTCTGGGCGTCGCCCTGGGGGGGGGGGGGAAGAAAGGTGCACCTGTCGTGCACCTTCGGGGCCCTAGGGGACCCCTTTACGGCCTCTGTCCTGCAACCTTCGACTCGGATCCCTCCCACCTTATCGGTCCATCATTACGTAACGATCGAAGGCCTGGGAGGGTAAAGATGGGAAGGCTTTGGTTTGCGCACAGACATTCCCGCCAGATAGTCCCAGCTGGCGTCAACAGGCCCCCCGAGTAGTCCCAGCTGGCCTCGAGACCCCCCGACTAGTTAGGGTCGGTTTCAACACCTCACCCTGAAGCTCGGAGCGCCAGGGTGTTGGGACTGACCTAGGGTACTTGGGAGTCGTGTCGAGGCCAGCCGGGACGACTCGGGTGGCCGGTTGAGGCCAGCTGGGACTACCTAGGGGGACTGCCTGTGTGCAAATGTGACACCCTATACGCCACTGTGCCTCTGACTACGGAGTGAGCGTGTTCTCATGTCTTTAGCCCAATCCCTTAAGCCTCAATCTAATCCTGAAGATGAGGGGCCCAGACCCCAAATTGCCAAATCTGTCGGTGTTTGGCGCGTGCCCCCTGGGCTCCCCCGCATCTCCCCGCATTTCCCCGCGTGACTTTTTGGGGCCAAGGAGGGCCCCAAGACGGGCCAAGAGGGCCCCAAGAGGCCTCCAAGACGGTCCAGGAGGGCCCCGAGACGCCCAAAGATCGAACCAAGATGCCCAAGATGGTCCCAAGACGGCCCAAGAGGCCTCCGAGACGCCCCTAGCGAGCCCCAAAATCCTTTCAAAGAGGACCCCGAGAGGCCCACACAATTGTATGTCTATGGGCGTTCCATTGATTTTGAGGTCCTCGACTTGTCGAGCTCCCGACGCTCCAAAATGGCCCAAGATGCCCCAAGATCGCCCCAAGACGGCCCAAAAGGCCTCCAGGAGGGCCCCAACACGGCCCAAGAGGGCCGTGTAAACACACAGCTGAGGCGCCCAAGACGGTCCAAGAGGGCCCAAATACAGCTAAGAAGGGCCCAGGAGGAGGAACACGAACACGGGGTTTCCTAGCGCCTCCTGGCGCCTGGAGGCGCCCATGTATCGAGGAGTGGGCCAGGCGGCGGGCGGAAACCAGCGGCGTGCAGCAGATTTCGTACCCCCCCTTCCTATCCTACCTGTTCGTCCGACCCGAGCGGCGCGGCGAAGACGATGCGAGGCGGGGACTCATCCATAACAACCGCCTGGGGAAACGACCCTCTGGGACCTCAGCAGGCGGTCGAGGTGGATGTACTCGGCAGCCCCCGGGGCCCAATGATACCCAGATCCACCGCCTGCCGAGGTCCCCGAGGGTCGAATCCCAAGGATCGGTCCCCGCCTCGCAGACTTTGAATGCCCGAGATGGGTACCGCTGTCAGACAGGCGGTCAAAGTGGACAGCGTCCGCGGCGAACCCGGCAGCGATTCCTGTCCCAAATGAACAGAAAACCCGGTCGGTCTTCGTGCCCAGTGTTTCCGTACCCATGTCGATGACACCGAGAGACCAGGCGGTCGGCGATGACAACGCCGGCGCTGGAGGGCCCATCTCCTCCGAGGCTGTATTTTTCCGACCTTCCTGCTTTGGGTTCTCGCTTTGAATAGAGCACTGCGGTCGCACACTGGCCTCCTCCTTCCCCCCCCGTCCTTCTGCCTCCTCCTGCGCAGCTTCCTGGGTGGCTGCGAACTGCGCAACGGTCCCCACTTTCGTGGGCTCCTGGGAGGCACGGCGGAGTCGGGGAGTACACAGCTCATGTGAGAGCTCGCAGCTCCAAGCGTGGCTGCGAGCTCCGCAACTGTCGCCACTTTCGTGGGCTTCTGGGAGGCACATCGAAGTCAGGGAGTAAACTTACCATTTGATTTGAGACCTTGCAGCTCACTGGGTGGCTGCGAATTGTTCACCTGTCGCCACTCTTGTGGGCTTGTGGGAGGCACAGCGGAGTCGAGAAGTAAACAGATCATTTCAAAAACTCCCTGGGTGGCTGCGAGCTGTGCAACCGTCGCGACTTTCGTGGGCCAGGAGGCGCGGATAAGTCGGGAATAAACTGACCATTTAAGACCTCGCAGCTCCCTGGGTGGCTGCGAGCTGCGTTACTGTAACCACTTTGGTGGGCTTCTGGGAAGCACGGCGAGTCCGGGAGTAAATGGACCCAGTCGAAACCTCGCAGCTCCCGGGGTGGCTGCGAACTGTGCGGCCGTCGCCACTTTCGTTGGCTCCTGGGAGGCACGGAGGAGTCGGGGAGTACACAGCTCATGTGAGACCTGGCAGCTCCCTGGGCGACTGCGAGCTCCGCCACCGTCGCCACTTTCGTGGGCTTCTGGCACGCACGGCGGAGTCGGGAAGAAACTGACCATTTGAGACATCGCAGCTCCCTGGGTGGCTGCGACCTGCGCAACCGTCGCCACTTTCGTGGGCTCCTGGGAAGCACGGCGAGTCCGGGAGTAAATGGAACCAGTCGAAACCTCGCAGCTCCCGGGGTGGCTGCGAACTGTGCGGCCGTCGCCACTTTCGTTGGCTCCTGGGAGGCACGGAGGAGTCGGGGAGTAGACAGACAACTCATGTGAGACCTGGCAGCTCCCTGGGCGACTGCGAGCTCCGCCACCGTCGCCACTTTCGTGGGCTTCTGGCACGCACGGCGGAGTCGGGAAGAAACTGACCATTTGAGACATCGCAGCTCCCTGGGTGGCTGCGACCTGCGCAACCGTCGCCACTTTCGTGGGCTCCTGGGAAGCACGGCGGAGTCGGGGAGAAAATGGACCCAGTCGAGGCCTCGCAGCTCCCTGGAAGGCTTCGAACTGTGCAACGGTCCCCACTTTCGTGGGCTCCGGGGAGGCACGGAGGAGTCGGGGAGTAGACAGCTCATGTGAGAGATCGCAACTTCCTGGGTGGCGGCGAGCTGCGCAACTGTCGACGCTTTCGTGGGCTTCTGGGAGGCACGGCGGAGTCGAGTAAACGGACCCAGTCGAAACCTCGCAGCTCCATGGGAGGCTACGAACAGCGCACCTATCGCAACGTTTGTCCTGCCTCCTTCTGCGCTTTTCCCTCGAAGGCTGCGAGCTGCACAACTGTCGTCACTTTCGTGGGCTCCTGGCAGGCACGGCGGCGTCGGGGAATCAACTGATCATTCGAGACTTCGCAACTCCCAAAGTCAAACTGCGCAACCGTGGCCACTTTCGTGGGCTCCTGGAAGGTCCAACGGAGTCGGGGGCCACGCGGATCCAGCCGAGACCCCGTGAAGAAAGGTGCACTTCTCGCCCCGTGAAGGGGCCCAACTGGGGCACGAAAGTTGCACGTTTCTCCCCTCCCCATGTATCCCACCCCGAATACTTGACGCCCGGGCCTCCGCAGGCCGTCTCCTGCCCCCTTTGGGGCCGTCAGGAAACGACGTAGGACGAGAGACTAGGGCCGGGGGGAAGTGGTCAGTGCACTGGGGGCCGACGTCACTTCCAATTACACGAGACGACCCCAACCCCTTCACGCGAGGCGAATTCTTGTATGAACGCCCCATACAAGAGAACACATAGCCAGATATGTACGATCTGGGCTGCCCTCATCTCCGCCGTGCCTCCGACGAACCCGCGAAAGTGGCGACAATTAAGCAGGTCGTAGCCTCCCCCCACCTAGCGCACCCCCATTATGTAACGCCCGAGAGGCCGAAAACAAACAACACAATCGACCCACAAACCCAGAAGGGATTTAGAACTACGAGGCATGGGAAATATTCAAAGGACCTCAAGTGGGCGATGGGCAATGGCAATGCTGAAGATATCGATGGTGACGATACTGTGCCACGGGCTATGTTGTGCTGCGCTGCGCTGTGCCGCACGCCCGGTGACGTGACAGGGGAGGCGCCAAGGATCCTGCCGAGGGACGCGCCGCGGGAATTGTGAGGAGAACGCGCCGTGGAACGGCCAAGGGACGCGTCAGTGGGACGCACCGCGGGACGTGCAAAGAGGACGCGTTACTACAGTACGTGCCATTGGACGTGCCACGGGGCTTGCCACGGTCCCTCGTAAATTACGCTGCGTCCACGCCCCTCCCAAAGCCCCGACCCCTCGTGAATTGCGCTGCTTCCGCGCTCCAAATGCCACGATCCCTAGCACATTACGCTGCGACAGCGCCTCCAGGATGACGAAACACTGCGCGGATGTTGCCCCAAAGGGCCACCATTCTCCAGAGCAGGAACCAATACATTTCTGTATTTGGAACTGTGTTCAGGGGGACGCGAATCGCCCCCCCCCCCCCCCCCCCCTTCTGCCATTTCCTGAAAATCACGCGCTGGACCCGAAACCTCAAATCCTTGACCATTACGTTTCGCGCGCGCGACCAACGCCGCGATCCCTCGAGAACTGTACTGGGCTCGTGCTCTCACGGCCACCGTTCCTTGCAACGCACACGGGGTTTAAGCTCCCAGGGCCGCGACCCCTCGGGAAAATTAAGCAAGGCCCACCCTCCCGCTGCAACAATCTCTTGCAAATTGCGCTGGGCTCGCGCTCGGAGGGCCAAGATGCTTCTCTGCAAATGACGCCGGCTGCGCGGGCTCCAGGCGACGATCCCCAGCAAATTGCGCCGAGTCCGCGCCCCCAGGGCCACGATCCCTTGACAAGGCCGCCGTGTCTGCGCCCCCCAGGCGCAGGATCCCTTGTGAATTACGCTGCGTCCGCCCCCACAGGGCCAGGATCCCTCGCAAATGACGCTGCGTCCGCGCCCCCAGGGCAACGATCCCTTGTAAATCATGTTGCGTTCGCGGCCCCAGGGCTACGATCACTTGGAAATTGCCCCGCGTCTGTGCTCCCAAGACCACGGTCCCGTGTGAACAACGCTGCGTCCGGTACCCCTAGGCCACGACCCCACGCTAACTACGCTGAGCCCGCGCTCCCAAGGCTGCGATCCCTTGTAACTGTCGTTGCGTACGCGCCTCCAGGGGCTCGATCCATGGAAAGTTGCGCTGCACCCGAGCTCACAAAACCACCTGGGCGCCATGGGGCGTCCAGGCACAACAAGTTCTGCAACACAAGCGATTCGCTCAAGACATCCTTGCAAATTCGGCGCGCAGGGCGAGCCATCCTCGGTCGGGCACGCAGAAAAACCTCCACACAACATTCTTCGTCAGCTACTCTGCGGAACCCGTTATTAGTCGAAGGTCCAGAATGGAGGACGCACGTTCCTCGAGCAGGCACGCGCGAGACGCACTTCAGACCTAATGATTTACCGCGTTTGTTTTCGAGCGGAAATCCGCCGGCCTCCTTCAATCGAGGTTCGGGGGTAAACGCGTAAAAAAAGCCTGGGCCCGAGTGTTCTTTCTGGGGAACGCCGGCCGACCGATGCGATGTTCGTCTGCCCCGCAGGGCCCTGGCCCCTCCTCGGTCAACGGCGGTTCAGGCTGAGTGGTTTTGTCGACGGCCCTTGGGCCCGCGAAGCCAGAGTTACTGGAGGCCGAGAACTTGCGCGAACCATTCGTCGCGACATTCACTCATGGCGCGAAGACCCTCACCTCCGCAAGCATGATGTCATCAATCCGCGGTCCAGGAGCTGCCGACCCCTCTCCTGGGAGGTAGCTCTGCAACCACAATAAATGTTTGGGGGTCCCAGGGACCGATGGGAGGCCAAAATCGAAGAAAAACGCTTGGAGGGGCAAAAAGCAAGTCGTCTGGGATCGATGGATGATTAGTGACCAGGGAGTCTGAGGGGCGGACCGAAATTGTCCGACGGTGAGATGTCCCAAGCGCCGTCCACGTAGACGGTCAACTCCCCGAGGGCGCCTGGGCGACTGATCGAGAACGACGACAGTACCGTGGGATCGTCAAGAAGCTCGGGGTGGAAAGCGGGCCACCACATAGAAGGTCCCGACCTGTGGGGGCCACGTTGTGCACAAGTCACGGTGCCGGACCTCGTGGCTGTCACGCGACTTCGGCCTCCGGAGTCCGACTCCAGCTCCAGAGCCAATCCCTTGGAGCAAGTAAAGGGGGCCACACTGAAGAAACACTGCCCAAACACGCAGGGCAAGTAGCGAAGCGCATCCGTTCGCCCTCGCGAAGAGTCGAGCACTGGCGCAAGGGCAGCATATGCGCAGACGGCAGAGTCTCCCAGACCAGTGGGTGGGCATCCGAGCGGGAAGGCTCCGCACGCTCAGCGGCCCTGCGCTGCTCGGTGTGTAAGGGGGGGTCATCACGACGACGTCCAAAGCTGCTTGGAGACTGAAGACTACAGCTTGCAAAAGCACGCCGGGTGAATACAAGTCCTTACGCTTGCTGAAACCCACGAAACATATGAAGCCGCATTTGCGTAGGAGCTGCTCTTCCGCCTCTCTCGCAGCGCCATCGAACATCCCCTCGCAATCGCTGCTTTCCCTCATCCTCTGTCTGCACCTCCACCTGCACCTCCGTTCCCTGCTCCATTGGCTCTGCTCCCACCCCTTCCTCCTCCTCCTCCTCCTCCTCCTCCTCCTCCTCCTCCTCCTCCTCCTTCCCCTCCTCCTCCACCTCCTCATCCACCTCCGCCTCTCCCTGCTCCGTTTCCACCTCCATCCTCCATCCTCCATCCTCCTACATCCTCCTCCTCCTCCTCCCCCTCCTCTTCTCCTCCTCCTCCTCCTCTTCCTCCTCCTCTTCCTCCTCCTCCTCATCATCATCATCCTCATCCTCCTCACCCTTTTCCTCCTGACCATCCTTGTCCTCCTTCTCAACCTCCTCCTCTACCCCTCCACCCTTGTTGGTCTAGTCCTCGTGCCCTCTCTGCCCCCTCTCTCACGGTCGCTCCCTCCTGCTCGTTCCCGTCCTCCCTTTCTGCTCCTCTCCCCCTCCTCACCCCTCCCGCGGTGACGTCACCCCTGGCGTGGCTGCCGTAGGCCTAAAAAAGGCGATTGTTGGTTCACGCCAAGGTGTGACCTTGGCCCACGGGCCCGAGTCTGAACAGCAACAGCGATACGCAAGTCCCTTGCTCCCTCACTCCCCATGCCACGCGTGTCCCCCATGTCCCCTCGTCTCCGGCTCTCCCCCCTTTTTGCCTGCTCCCTTCGACCTTCCTCTCCCGCCCCAGCTCCTCCACGCCTGTCCTCCCTGCCCCTCCTCCCTGGCCTGTCTTCCATTTCCGAAGTGAAGACAGGGAGGACCAGGCAGGAAAACAAAAGCGCTGCCAAAGGGACGCACCAACCGTCGCCCCAGCTTGCTAGGACACCCCAGAAAAAAGGCCAGTCTCGATGTCAGGCTACAGTGGGGACGGGAGGAGTGCATGAGACAGGGAGGAGGAAATGAGGAGAAGGAAGAAAGAGAGGACAGGGAGGATAGAAGGAGAGCAGAAATAAGGATGCGAGGAAGAGGGGGGGAGAGGAGGAGAAGAGGACGACGGCGGGAGGATCAGCCAGGGAGGGCGAGGACGACAACGCGGAGGCAGCGCGCCTGGCGCCCACGGCCCGCGCTGGCTGCGGCAGCGAGCCGAAGACGAGGCGCGAGAACACGAACCTCGACCTGGACATCTAATGGGCCTGCTTGCCATGGGGCGCCGTCTGCAAGGGCGCTGAGACCGACTAACATGCTAACATGCGCGATACCGCGCCACGGAGTCGGAGGAGGAGGAGGAGGAGGAGGAGGAGGACAAGGAGGAGGGGGGGAGCGCCGTGGCGGACGGTGCCGCTGATGCCGCGCGCGCTCGGGCCAGGCGGTCACAGCGGGCCCTGCCGCCGTGCGCCACTGGCAACGGCAAGCGCGGGACTGCGCGCAACTCGTCGCCAGGGCGGCGGCGCTGCGGTCGCGGCGGCGGTCAGCGCCTTCGCGCGCCGATGGGGCGGGGAACCTGGCGGCGGCATTGCAAGCCACAGCTGCACACCAGCGGTGACGGTCCAGACGCGTGAGTGCGCCGCCCTGCCCGCCTGCCCGCTTCGCTGACCAAGTACGCTGGCACCCTCGAGATGCATATGTGCCCGTTGTTTCTCGCCCGCTTTTCAAACGCAAAGGTAGTATGGCAGATTCAAGCGAGACCCGCTTGTCAAGGAGGAGGAAGAGGGGAGGGATGAGGAGGAACAGGGAAAAAAGAAGGAAGGGGGGAGAGAAAAAGGAGAAAAAGGAAACGGCGGAGAGGGAAGAGAACAAGGAGGAGGAGGAGGGAGAGGAGGAGAAGGAGGACGAGGACGAGGAAGGGGAGGAGGAGGAGGAGGAGGAGGAGGAGGAGGAGGAGGACAAGGAGGAGGAAGAGGAGGAGGGGGAAAAAGAGAAGCGACAGGGGGTGTACAAGGACGGGAGGAGGAAGAGGAGGAAAAGGAGGGGGAAGGAGGAGGAGGCGGCGGCGGCGCTCCCCAGGGGTCCGGTGACGGGTCGAACCAACGAGAGGGGTGGGGAACTCCCCTCAAATCAGTCTGCTCGGCACCACACCAGACGTGGGGCACGAGCGGCAGGCCCTCTCGGGCGGTGCCCGTGCACGGCCCTTGGCGACGGGCACCTGGCTCTTGGCCCACCAGCAAGCAGCAACGACGCGGGAAAACCAAGAAAAAGCAAGCGCCGCACCAGGCCATGAGAGGCGGCAGGGCCAGGCACACCGCCACAGCGGCGTGCACGGCCCCTTCACCAGCACCCAACAGGGGACAGCCCCAAGGGGGGGCAGAGAGGCCAACAGGCCCACGGAGAGAGGAGGGAGGAGGGACGAAGACGACAGCAGGAAGGACCACACCATGCAAGAGTGCCTCGCGCACGAGCGCGCAAAGCCCACAAAGACATCCATTCGGCGGCACGGCATCAGCCAGAAACAAACTAAGACCCGAGCCCCTCGGCACGGCCGCGAGCCCCAACGAGGCCCGAATTTCACAGCGGTGCAGACGGCACCCTGCGCAGCTCCAAAAACCCTCAGGATTCACGATGCCCCCGAGACCTTCTGACCCTTCAGCTCCAAGTGCCCAGGGGGGCGCGGTCCTGAGAAAGCCTTCCTCTTGATGCATTCGTCCACCACTGTGACAAGGGACCGCTCCACCTTCTCATCTCTCATGGCGATGATGAGGCGCCTCTCCTCTGAGTCGAACATCTTCTCCATACGAAACAATTCAATCATATGCTGGGCCTCGCAGCCCCCAGCCTTGCACACAGTCAGGTACCTCTGCGCGTCTGCCTTGAGCGGACCGGGAGTGGAGCCAACCATCGTCAGGCAAGCGACACCCAGCAGGGACGAGTCTGGAGGCCCCGAATCGTGCCCTTTCTTGCCCATGACTCTCGGGATATACTCCTCGTTGTGGGCCTTGAGCATTGCGACGCACAGGCTGCCTTGCGTGGGGATCTCGGTATGCACCGTGCGCGCCGCCTCTAACAGCCGATTCCTCTGATTCGCGATCACTCCAAGCTTCACGCCAAGTTGGGCTTGGCTCTGCCCTCCGTGCACTCCCCTTTGGCATGCTGCACGCCTCTGCCAGCTGGCGCCGCAGACGCATCTCCAGGGACATCGGCAGCGCCAAACTGGTTGGCCCAGGCCGACATCGCCAGCCCGAGTGCACACAGCACTGCAGGGAAAGAGATTCGCCTCCAAGAACAGTGGCTGCTGAAAGGAAGGGTCGCAATAAGCCTGATTATCACTGAGCCACAATGCCAACACGCCGAAGAAAAAGAGGACGCCTTTTAATCAAGTCGTGTACCTCAGGGTAAGTGTGTCACCATGCCCACGCGCGATAATGTAGCTCTGAAATTCGATGATACGTATCTCGCATTTGTACAAGGGGCCCACTACATGTGTGCGCATCGTGACCGAACCCCTAGATTTTGGGCACTGGCCACGCGATAAACTGGCCGCAAGATGGCCCGATGCGCGCCGACGGGTCGTGTAGAAGTTGCCACTCTGGATACACTTGTTGGGAATAGGGAAGACCATGGCGAGGTTATGTTGTCCGTTGCCCGCTGCTTCTGAGTTGGCCTGGTGAAGAAGAAGAAGCTGACGTTTTCGTGATGAACGTCAGATTGCAGCCTTTTATGTCACACTCGCATGGTGAACGGGCATTATCAAGCACGAGTGGCGCACGCGGGCCAAGGAGCTCGTCTCCTTGTGTTTCTCCTCCACCTCCTTCAGCATCTCCTCCTCCTCGTTCCATCGTGCTATCCTCCATCTCTATCGCCTCCTGGTAGATTTCCTGAATAGTCCTCGATCCTCTTGAAATCTCCTTTACCTGTGATACTTTGACCTCCGGACAGGCCTTCCTGGTACTGCCATCACAGAACAAGGCCACGGGTTTCCGGAGGAGCACTACCTCTGGCATACTAAGCTCCTCGATACAAACAGAAATATCCAGCAACGCCATATTTAAACAGCGCTGGTACCTGTCGGCGGTAATATACAACCATCGCGCCCGCACAAACAATGATTGCCCCACGCAGCATAGCAAAAGAGCGACGCCAGCATCAAAATGTGACGCTCTGGGGACCTCGCGAGCTCCTGCCACCAGCTGACTCGCCATGCTCGCAGTATACTAGAAGGTGTCTGGAATTGCATGTGTTTCCTGATCTGGAGATTCGGGAGAGCACCATATTTTCTGGGCCGGTCTTTGGCGGCAGCAAACTTCAGACACCCTTTGCCCTGCAGCGCTCGTCTCGCTAAAGACGCCTGAACTCCCTCAGGTCTCTGATATTCAGTTTCCCAATCGGAAGTGCGACCACCTCTGCGAACATGGCCCCCTCCACCATGCTTTTGAAAATCGCCGATCGCCACCGATCGCTCGCATTTTCAAACCCAAGAGCTACCCGGCACAGCGAAAGCCTGCTTCGCGCGCTTAATGCGGTTGTCGATCTCTGGCCTCGCGCTACCTTGAAACTGCAACCTGCCTCCCAGATATGATGCCTCTATCCGTGCCTGCCCTCTTACCGCCCCTCAAGCTCATTGAAGTCTCCTCATGCCATGCTGAATCTCCCTTCCCTTCCAGCTGCGGCAGCGACGCCTCTTCGCCACCGTTCATAGCTGCGCCCATCCCGTGCATCTGGGCGCCCAGGTGCAAGAACTGCGAGCTGCATATGACTCTGCAGTCGGCGGCGCCCTCTACTGCCGGCGCCCTCGCCGCATCGTGCAGATGTGTCGCAGTAGTCCCGCGTGAGTTGACTCAGGAACTGTCTACCTTCAGGCGCATCCGTCAAACGATGCCGAAACCACTGCACCTGCGCCGATATGCTTTCATCCGATTCCCGAAATCCGTCTAGCTGCGCGTTGTACGGCCCCAGGACCCACACCCAAGCGATCGCGTCGCCAGGGGGGGTGCCTTGACCTATCCCTACAACAAGCGCGCCATCCGCGTAGTCAACCGAGACCTGTGCGAAATGCAACCTCAGCATAGACAGCGCCGCCCCGAATTCGTCGCTGCACGCGTCTACATGCGCCTCTGCGCGCTCGCGGCGCACGCCGTGAAACGCGTTAGTCGCATCGCAAAGTGTTGTCATCCTACCTATTTTACTTCCGTGGAGACGCGAAGCGCAGATACTCTGCGCAGCCATTGCCTCCTCGCGCCGCCGACCCTCGAGATGGCCAAACGAGCAGCAGCGGTCGGCAGCGCGCGTGAGCAGCGGATGGCAGCACCAGAAATAAACATAGTAGACCTCGCCGAACGAGTCATGTGAGCGCACGAGCCCTCGGACCTTACACCCCCTTTTTTCCATTGAGTTTGTCGAGCGAAAACGCCTTACTCCTGCGCCGAACCAGCGGTGTCTGCCAATGGTGCCGCACAGCAATGCGAATCCACAACGCACACTCATACATACTCGGGAAAGGCAGACCATTCTCGTCAAAACTCGGGCGCCTCTTGGTGCGCATGCTTGTATTCGTTCGGCAGCGTCGAGAGACGCCGCGCCCCGCCTGGGAAGCCCCAGCCGGGTGGCGTCCGAAGCAATCTCGCACGGGAGCGCACAGCGCAGACATCATCTTGGCATTGCGCCGGCGTCTCCAGCGTGAGCCAAGGCCGCGGCGCGCGAGCCCTTCGCGCCTCTCCCTCAGACCCTTGAGGCGGGGGCCTCGCGGCAAATCCGCAGAGGTCCCCTGGCTGCTCTAAGAGCTCGCGCCGCGCGCTCTGTTCGAACGTCGTTCTTGGCGCGCAATAGTTCCTCTGCTTCGGGCCGACATTATTTCGAGCCAGCAATCTGGAATGCTTCCAACGCAGGGCCGTATCGCCCGCCCGCTGAGCTTGCATCAACTCCGCGGCATGCAATCCCATCTGCCTAGCTCTGTCACGCCACGTGATCACTCAGAGTCTCGTCGCGCCTCTGGCACTCGCGCACCGCGCATGCAGGGCGCGCGCGCTTCGTGCTCCTCGAGGTACGCGCGAGAGACAGCACAATCCCTTCCAAACAAAACAAACTTCGGCAAAACAAATCCTTCGCGCCAGCCCCCTCCCCGCCCCCCCCCCGCCCCGCCCGCGCGCGCAGCGCGCCCGCGCAAGGGGCTTCGCGAAAAGGGGGGGGGGGAGCGGGGGCATCTGCAACAGGGCTGAACCAAAGCTGTGTTTTTCGCTGTCGTTTTGCGTTCGTTGTCACCCCCCTTGCGTCTCGAATCCGCCTCTGCCGCAAAACGAAATCGAATCGCCAAAAACATCGTCAAGGGCCAGCCCTGATCTGCAAATTGCGCAGCTCGCGGGGTCATGCTCGACACTCGAGCCTGCTGACCAATGCGTTCCGTGCGTCAGTCTGGCGCGCCTTCCGCTTCGACCCCCTACTAAAAAAGACGCTTGCTGTAATCCAACATCATGCACTCGCTCGTGCACTGCATCTGGGCTCTGCAGGCAGTGATCAACAACCTCTGACGCCGCCCGCGCGAGCTCTCTGTCTACCGCTTCCAACCCCCCCCGAATCATGCCAGGGTCGAATGCATTTAGACTGCTTGTCGCGGTCCCATGTGGCAGCAGACTTCCTCTGAACATCGAAGCACGGGCCTACGTTGATTCGCAGCACAAGAGGGAAGTGATCTCTCCTCGCGCGCGCGTTAAAGATCTGCAGTCGCCCCCCTCCCCCCCCCCGCCCACCCCCGCGCCTCGCGCGCCTCGACGCTACTTCGAAGGCAGGCGGGAACACGCGCATCGTTTATGCGAAACGCGTGCTCGGCCGACCCGCGATAGAAGGTCGGCCCCGTCTCATAAATAATTCAACACTGACAGCTAAGGGTGTTCAAAACTTAGCACATACACGTTCCCTTGTAATTCTCATCATATGCTTCCTTCGCTCCCACGTGCGGCTCAGACCCGATCGAACCGACCCTCGCGTCGGCGTCAACCACGAGCACGGGCGCCGTTCTCGCAGGGAGAAGGTCCATCAGCAGCGACAGCCCATGCCAGAAGTGTTTGCGTCTCCTCTCCTGCGGGCGCCTATCCTTCTGAGCTCCGTGCGCATCGACGTGAGCGTAGCCTGCCACGAACGGGAAGTCCATCATGCGACTCTTACACCTGACAGCTCCTATCCGTCCTCCCCACCCAGGCGGAGAAAAGATCTTCCGTATCATATGGCTCTGCGCCAGCTTGTCATGCAAAAACAGCCTAATCCTGTCGGCCCCCCATGCGGCCCCTTCGCTCCTCGGCCACCTGAATCTGTGGCATCGGCCTACTTTGTCTTGCTGTCACTCCAGTTCACGTTCTCTCGAGCACCGCGTTCCCTGCAACCCTATCACCGAGCATGATCGCAACCGCTGACATATATCATTCCACCTCCCCACTTGGCGCAACGACAATATGTGATAACTGCGCGCGCGAAGGCCATGCATCTCGATCGCGGCCGGCCGAGCGGAAACACCTTTGAGAGGTGTCGGAAGCGCGGCGGTGGCGTGGAGGAGTGAGAGGAGGGGGGAAGGAAGAGGAGGATGAGGAGTAGGAGGAGAAGCAGCATGAGGAGGAGGAGGAGGAGGAGGAGGTGGGAGAGGAGGATGAGGAGGAGGGGGAAAAGGGGAAGAAGGAGGAGGAGGACGAGGAGGAGTGACGGGACAGGAACCCAAATCCTTGTCGCCGCGGCGCCGCCTAAGCTCGAAGGACGACGAAGGAGAGGAAACAAGCGCACAAGGGGCACGGAGGGCGAGGAGGGGGAGGACGGGGAGGAGGGGGGGGGTGGAAGGGGAGGTGCGGGAGACCAGGGCAGATCAGGGCAGATCAGAAAATTGGGCATGCTCCCTCGCACTACAGCGAACGACGCCGCACTGCGGCGACGCCGTCAGCGGAGGCCCACGCGCAGGCCGACCCACGGCCCTCGCAGGAAACTCCACTGTGGCAGAATCCTGCTGCCTCACCACGGCCCGCGCCAGGCAGAGGTAGTATCCCGCTGCAAAAAGCAAGCGCGCTAGCCGAGAGGCTCCTGCCCGCGCGATCCGCCCGACTAGCCACCCCGCGGCCCGCGCCAGGCAGAGACAACATCCAGCCGCAAAATGTGAGCACAGAGCCCCGAAACTCAGACTCGGAACTCCTTGAACCTGGCCCTCGCCGCGCCACTCCGCCCGAAACGCCTCGACGACCGGGCCGCGGAGCTCCTCCGGGACGTCTTCCAGCTCATGCCGCACGACGGCCTGGAACCATCGCCGCCTCCGACGGGGCTCCGTGAGCGACTGGGCGAGGTCGCTCTCCACGCCGCCGCCGTGCTCCTTTGCGCCAGCAGCTCTGCGTCCAACAGTAGTGGGCCCAAATTGCTGCACCTCGCCGCCATCAGCAGCAGAGACCTTCTCAATATCAACGGGCAGCATCAATCAGCAGCATCAGCCATCAGTAGGTGGCCCCAGAAGTGCTTCCACCAACAGCCATCTTGCTGCCTCCAAAAAGCGGATACTTCCTTGGTCCCAAAGCGCTGACACTGGCAGCCTTCTTGTCCTGGCCTTTGCTGCCGCCAGCGCCCTTCTTGCCTCCACCTCGTGCGTTGGACCTCTACTCCTGGCCCTGAGGGTCTACCACTGCGGTGCGCCTCCAGGCCCCGAAGATGGATCCCAAGAGGTGGCGGCCTGGCAAGGTAACCAGCCCGCCGTGTGCTGTGAGGAGGCCTTCGCGGCACGCGACCGTCAATTCCTCCTGGGACCCAACCCCGCGCTCTTGGCCCAGGGCGCCGTCGGAAAACGACTCTGGACGGCCTGTTCTTTCGCGTACTCGTGTTTGCTCTTCCCATTGGCGGTCCGGCCCCGCGAGTCCCTGGGGATCGAGGCAGATTGCGAGAGCTCGGTGCCCCTCGACCGCGTCCTCGAGGCGCTCCTCATCTGCTTCATACTATAATTATGTTGCGCGGTCTTCTCCTGAGTATTCATATTCTTCCTCTTCTTCTCCCAGTGCTTGAGAGGACTCCGCCGACGAGGGGTCTCCGGCTGACCCGCCATCGTCAACCTCAGCTGCGTGGCATTCTTCACCTTCGGTTTGAAAGACTCTGACTGTTCCGACTCCTGCTGTGCAGCCCTCCGCCCCTTCAGCTTCGGGCCCATGGGCTGGTAGGACTTCGACGGCGACGTTGCCTCCCGCCGCGCCGCAGTCTTCTCCTTCCGCCTCTTCTTCTCCCCCTTTGGCATCTCCACCTTCTACAAGCGCTTGCTCTTCACCTCGTGTGGTTTCTTCTTCTCCTTGCGCTTGAGGGCCACTGTCGGTTGATCCGACTCCAGCCGAGACTCCCTCGCCCTCCGCGTCTTCACCTTCATCTCCTTCGGCTCCTTGGAAGCGCAGTCCCGCGCTGGCTACAGCGCCCCATGTTCCTCCAGCTCTACCTGGTAGCCCCTCGGCTTGAAGTGCGATGGCGGCAACCCCGCCCCCCACCCGCGCCCCCTTCTGCGCCTGCAAGCCCTGTCCCAAATGCGCGGGCCGCGCCCCCCTCCAACCCGGTGCAGGCTGAGGCGGCCCCCACCATCCCGGCGGCGCCTCCATCGGCGCAGCCTTTGAGTGGTGGCCCGTCGTCGCCGACGAAGAGTTCCTCAGGGCCTCCTCCATCAGCGCCCGCTTGTGTGCGTCCAGCTCGAAACGCTCCTCCAGCAGCTTCCGCTTCTCCTCCACGAGCATGCTGCGCCGCCCGCAGAGCACCCGCCTCTGGGCCTCCGGCTTGCTCATCTGCTCCTGCACGCCCCGCTCCGCCATCGAAGAGCTCCACAAGCTCAGCGCCTGGCCTCAGAACCTCTTGCACGCCGATCTCCAGCGCTCCGAGCTTCGCTCCGAGCCCACAGCAGACCAGCTCCAAAGGAACCAACAGTCTCATGCCATCCCGCTCGGACGGGCTGCGCCCCTTTCAAGCGCATCCGTATCCGACGGGGCCTGAGCCAAAAGGGCTACGGAGAAGGGGGAGGAGGAGGTGGAGGGCGAGGAGGGGGGGGGGGGCGAAGAGGGGCAGGAGAACGAGGAGGGGGAGGAGCGAAAGGAGGGGGAGGGGCAGGGAGGAGGATCCCAATAGCCCCTCCTTCCCCACCCGGTGGCCCGTGGGCGGCGCGAGGCGCCCGCGCCCGGGGCGGCCGTCGCAGTCGCCGCGCCCGCCCACCTCCCGGCCCCGATGCTCTTCAGGCCCTGCGGGGGCGCAAGGGGGGGCTCCTGCTTCTGCCTCCCCTCCTTTGCCTCCCCTGCCCTCCTCCCTCCGCCCTCCCCCATCTCGACTTCCCCTCCTCGCTTACCCCCCCCATCCCTTCTAGGAGTATCCTCCCCCCTCCCGCTCCCATGCCTCTCCTCTCCTCCACACCTCCTCCTTATAGATGCCTCCTCCCAGCCGCCCGACTAGGCGTGTGGCTAGGGGAGGCAAGGCGCTTGGCCAGGGACCCCGTCACATTCGTTGATGTCGGGTCCCCAAGTTTCCGACGCCTTCCCCGAACGGAGCACACAAGGTTAACTACACCGAGTTTTTCTTTTGCCACCGCGCGCACTCGCTTGAGACAAATGCAACCCTTGCGCGGATTGGGAAGCGGGCTGTTTTCAAAATGCGGGGCTCTCTCCTAGGCTCCGCGCACATCCACCCTAAAACTTGCGACAACTACACGGGTGTCTGGATGGCGGTTCGTTTTCACAATGGAGGCCCTACTCTGACTTCCGTCCATTGACGGCCCCAAGTTCAAACAAGTACCAGGCTTCTTGCGTAAGACATCCGACTGCTTTGTGACTAGAACTCTGGAACTGCGCAACGCTTACACCCACGGATGGCAGGTCCCCTTCGACGCACCATGGCTGGAGGGATAAATGCGAGCAAACTCCTGAATCGTTGACGCATCTTGGGCTTACACCACGCGAAATGGTTAAGAAATCATGGGTTAAGAAATGCATGGTCTCAGAACTCGAATAAAAACCCAAACTTTCTATCAAAATCTTGGGATTTACATTGAAACATTAAGAATAATCGAGACTCTGGCCGAAAACTCAAGTTTTCTTAAGCATCGCCTAAGGTGTACTCTCGATCTTCGTAACCTCCTCTTCCTTCCCCAATGCCCAGTACCCATCCACATCCTCCCCAGCCACGTCTCTCGCCATGGCTGGAGGGATAAAATGTGAGTAAACTCCTGAATCGTTGACGCATCTTGGGCTTACTCTCGATCTTCGTAACTGAAGGGGCCCTGGGACACACAAATAAATACACACAAATAAAATTATTCCCCATATTTTCCCATATTTTCTGGATTTTTGTCTTCCCGCCCAATTCCCATATTTTCCATATTTTCCTGGCACTCGACGATTAATTGTGTCTGTGTGTTTCTTTCCCTCCTGAGTAACCTCCTCTTCCTTCCCCAATGCCCAGTACCCATCCACATCCTCTCCAGCCACGTCTCTCGCCCTCCTCACACACTCTTTGACGCCCGTGGGCCATCGAAGCACTACCCGGTGGTATCTGCCCCCCCCCGCCACACCTCCTCCTCCTCCTCCTCCTCCTCCTCCTCCTCCTCCTCCTCCTCGCCCTCCTCCTCGCCCTCCTCCTCGCCCTCCTCCTCCTCCTCCTCCTCCTCCGAAGAGCCACCTAACACCCCTGCGGGGGGAACAAGCATATACCAATGCTGCTACTCCTTGGGCCTTTGACGGGCTGCGGCAAGAAGCAGGAGCCCCTCGCGGAGCCGCACCAGAGTGCGATTGGAGGAGGCTCGGACAGGGACTCCATCCCACCAGGGATGGGTCACAATCGACCTCTCCACTTTTTGCCAAATCTAACCGGGCCTTTGACCGTAGATGCCCAAAAAGACCTCTCACGGGCTGGGCTCCGACCCAAATTTCGGGACTCGGTCGACCTCTCCAGGACGAGCAGCGGCATCCGTAACTATCTGTTCCTCGTCTGACCCCCCCCTTTCAGCCTGGCACGTATCGCTGCCGCCGCCAACCGACCCGCAGCCGCTCGACGCCGCCCTCAGAAGCGGCCGATCTCGGCCGCCAGCTGTCGCCGTCGGCAGATGTCGCTGCCCCAGAGCCCGCCCGCCCGCGGGCGGCCCGCTTACCAGCCTGTAGTAAAGCCCTATCCCCACGAATCGCAGCACCATGTGCCGGTGCCGATCCCAAGGACCCCGCTCAAATCTTGAGAGAACACCCCTTGACATTGTCTCTGGCCTCGGGCTTGCCACAGTCTGGATGATGGGGCGAGCTCGAGGCCGCTTACCCGCCCAGTCCTGCGATGCCGCCACGGTGTAGAAGGAGGCGTTGAACTTGTCCACGTCCGCCGCGTGCGGGCCGTACTCGCTCTTGATGTACAGCGAGGCGCCGGGGGGGCCTGGCCAGTCCCCCCCAAGGGCACGCCGCGCTCGGGGGGAGTGCTCAGCCTGGTGGCGACTCGGCGCCAATCGGCGTGGGCAGGGACGCGCTGTGCCACGGCCTCCCCCGAGGTTCGGCCCGCTGCATACGCAGAGCGGCACTGCAAAACACGACGCATGGCCAGGGCCTTGCGCGGCGCATGCGCCCCCATCCTGGGCCTGTTCGCGGTGCATGCGCCCTCCCAGCCGCAGCCAAGACGGCGTATGCAAACACCCTTCGAGAACCCAAGGCTGCCCTGGCCAAGCGCGGCGGTGGTGTACAGGACCGGGGACGGGCCCACGAGGCCCACGCAGCGAGCTCCTGGGCGAGGCGAGCCATCAGGCCCACATCGGCGATCAATGGGTGATTGCGGGTCCGTGCGCCGCGCCCCCCCCCCGAGCCTATCCCCAACCCCCCGAGTTGCCCCAAATGCGCGATGCCTTCTGAGAAGCCGCGGCCTTTGTTCAACACGTGGCCCCCGAAGTCTCGACCCCTTGGGACTCGTTGTCTGGCCCCAGGGGGCCCGGCGAGGGCCTCTATAGAGGCCAAAACCAAAGAGAAACTTCGGACTGGATTTTGTTGATACGCTGTGCGCTGGCTCGTCGTTGCCCGGGCCGGCGTCGGTCGGAGTGTGACTTCCCCGCCATGCTCTCCCTCGCATGGCGGGGGCGAGGTGCACGGCACGAGGGGGCGGGGCGCAGGAGGGTCGCGCGAAGGACGAGGGCAGGCGGAGCGCCTTCGGCAGGAAGATGGGGAGACAGAAGACGGCAAGGCTCCACGCTGCGTGTAGACGGCCCCTCCAGGCAGTCCCCGGCTGGCCTCAGCAGGTCGGGAATTGCTAAAGGTACCCCTGACCCAGGGTGCCCCCAGCTTGTCGCTCAGTCTTGGAGCCCCTGGGGCCCTCTGGAGGCCGTGGGCGCCTCCATGGAAATACTGGGGGCACCCTGGGCCAGGGGCACCTCCAGCAACACCCGAGCAGGCCCCCATGAGTAGTCCTGGCGCGGAGCGGCCAATGTGAAGGGGAACTGGGACACACAAATAAATACACACAAATAAAAAATATCCCCCATGTTTTCCCATATGTTCTGGGTTTTTGTCTTCCCCCCCACTTCCCATATTTTCCCATATTTTCTGGGAATCGAGGATTAATTGTGTCTGTGTGTTTCCTTTCCTCTTGACAATGTGCCGAAGGAAGCGCCCGACGCCGCCCGTGCGAATAGTGACGGGACCAACCCCCCTCCCCCCCCTCCCAGCCCCGTACGCCCGTGACCGCCAGGGGATTATAACAAATGTGTCTCCCCCTATCCACACACTTCGCCCGTCGTCCGACACGACAGGAGGGGAAGAAAGAGGCAGGGACGCACGGCCTGGCATGCGGCGTCTGGCCCGGGAGACCAGGGCGATCAGGCGAGGAGGGCATGAAAAGTTTCTTCCGCGCCAGCTCGGACATGGCAAGTCTAGCGAGGGAGCGCAGGAGAAATGGGCAGGATGAGGAGGAGGAGGAAGACGAAAAGAAGAAAAGGAAGAGGGGTGCGGTCGAAGCGCGGCGACAAGAATTCCGGACCCAGACCATGAGCCTCTTCGCCGAAGGCCCAGTACTCCTCTGGTGATACCGCAAACGAACCAAGATTCCAGGGTGGAGGGCCTGGACAGCAAAGAATATAACTAAGGCATGGAGGCGGTTGGGGAGCCTGAACTGGAGGGGGTCCTAGAAAATCGATCGAGAGGGGGGGGGGACGAAGGCAAATCCACTCAAAATCGGTCCCCGCCGGCTCTGACTGCAACAGGATGTCTGATGTCCTCGAAGAAGTAAAGAAAGAAAATCGGTCCCCGGAGACCTCCCGGGGTTCACCTGTTGCATTTATTCACCCCGGAGTCGTTTCCGACGGTCCCAGGCCCCGAAAACAGCACCCGGAGGCTGCAAAAGGCAAAAACCTTCCCGAGCCGAGCACCCCGAACCTGACGCCCCCTTCCTGCTGGCCAGAACCAGTGATGAGCATCTCAGACCCCCAGACGGCTCCAGCATGAGGCTGCCCCCCCCCCCCCCGAGCTGAGGCTGCCCCTCACTCGCACCCCTCGCGCCAGCTGCGGCGCGGGCACGCGCGATGGGCAGGGCGGGGAGAGGGGCCGGCAGCAGCAGGAGAGGCGGCGGAGGGGGAGGGGGGGAAAAGAGAATGAGGGGCAGGGGTAGGTGGCGACATCTAGAGGCCTCCTAGATGGGGTCGGAGTAGATGGGGTCGGAGGATCGCGCCGCATCGCCGATACATCGGCGATGCATCGGCGATGTATTGGCGATGTACCGGCGATGCATCGTCGACGTGGGCGATGCATCGGCGACGTCGACGTGAAGCACAACGGGCTCCACATCGAGCCGCATCGCCGATGCATCGGCGATGCGGAATGATCCGTCGACCCCATCTACTCCGACCCCATCTAGGAGGCCTAGAACATCCGAACTTTACTCCCACCAGGAGAGCGAAAGCCGGGGGACTTCTGAGCCTTCTGAGCAGGCCTTCTCCTTCTCACTCCCCCCCCGGGCTCGCCACCGATGAGTGGCGACATCCGAACCCTACCTCCACCGGCCATCAAGTCTCCCGTGTCGATGAAAGGTTGGGGCAGGGTTCGGAGTTCGCCGCGTGTTCGACGGACTCCGAACCATACCCCCGCCGCCCATTGAGCTGCCTGAAGCGATGATGGGCGAGGGTAGAGTTCGGTTCCTCGACTGAGGGGCAACGAAAGGGGGGGACTGGCAAATGAAAGACAGTTCGACCTGAACTGCGAAATAACACGGGTCTAACGCGAAACGGCATAGCGACCGTACGCCGTGACTTACGCGGGCCGCCGGGGGTGGCACGCCATATTGCTATACTGGAAACGAGGGCGCTTACGCGCGACCGTACGTGGGAAGCTTACGCGCGAATCTCGGCCCAATCGAACCTGTAGCTCTACGTCGCTCACCTGGAATCGGCGACACGTCGCACACAGGTCGGCGATGGGGCCACGCCAGAGAATCCGAACATTCCTAAGCAGGTTGGCTATCAGGCCCCTACATATCGGCGATCTATGGACAATTGAAAGTCGATGCGTCCCCCCCTTGAACCCATCACCCCCTATCGTCGACGACGTGTGGGCGATTGAGAATCGAAACGCCCCCCCCCCTGAGCCTATCCCTCCCTATCGTTGCACCCAGAAGACCGCCCGAACATGGGGCCGAACCAACCGCCAGAAGCCCTTCGAGGTGACCGCTTCACGACACGAGGATGCCAGAGTATTCCCCACCGCCCCCAGACCCCCTGGGGCATCCCGAAGGTAGTACCCATACCGCTACTCCCTGGACCTCTCCCGGGGTGCGTCCTGACCAGGATGTCGAGGCGAATGCAGCGGTGGCGACGAGGGCCTCACAGGAGACCCCAATAAAAGCGAAAACGAGGACCGGGTAGCAGTACGAGCACCTTCTGCCCAGGGTGCCCCGGAGCCCCCTGCCCTCCCTCGATGTTGCAGTTCGTGAACGAGTCGCAGGCCAGCTCGCCGTGCAGACCGCCGCCCGCCGCGGGCCGCTCGGGGAAGGACAGGCCGGCGGGGTTGCCCCTGCCGCGCGGGGGCGCTGCGCTCAGGGCGGGCGGTGGGCACCAGCCCCGCCCCCCGCGACGCCTCCGAGGATCTCCGAGGACACCGAACACCTGGCCAGGCTCAGGAGAGTGTCACGCCAAGGAAGATGGACTTCACGCCACGCGCTCTCTGGACAGACGTCCAGGTCCAGATGCACGAGCACTCGACGTCCAGGTCTAGATGCACGAGCACTCGACGCACTCCAGAAAACGCCCAGTGTCCAGGCAAGAGTTCTGAGATTCTTAAGCGAACTCTGGAGTCCATGACGGTTGCTCTCCTGCTTTCTTGAAACTCTCTGATGGGCATGCTGCTCGATATCAGCCGATGAGGCCTCGGCGCCATCAAACAGCGAGAGAACAGCACAACCCAGCCACCCCCCAACGAGGACCCCCACTCCCCGCCTGGTCATCCATGTCCTGGCTGCGAGTGCGGGTGGTCTTTCGGGGCTCTTGGGGGCCAATGACCACCCTCACGCCCAGCCAGGACGCCCTGAATCAACAGGCCGCGAGTGGGGGGTCCTGGCTGGGGGTCCAATGCGTCAAGCCAAAAGCCAAGACATCCAGAGCAGGGGAAGGGACGAAGAACTCGGTACATAGCGCCGCGCGTCGCGAGCCCAGCCCGCACCCCCTCCAGCCCCTCCATCCCCCCCCACTCTGCTGGGAGAAGCGGCCCTCCCTGTCACCTGCTGGCCACGGCTGAGGACACATGGAGAGACGGGGGGAAGGCAGGCACTCGGGCGATCGGCGATGGGGCTGGCCGCTGTGGGACCTGGATCCCCGGGCCGCTCCCCAGAGCCAACCTTTCCTCATCCGTCGTTCGTAGGGGGGGACTCCACACGCACCAGTTCCGCTGCTCCCCGGATCTCTCCTGGGGTGCGCTATGGCCCAAATGCCGAGACGAATCCGGCAGTGGCGACGGGGGCCTCCCAAGAGGCCCCAGAAAGGGCAACGGAATTGGTACCTTTCCCTCCTCTGCCATTCGTTGACCTGAAACTGCCACAGATCCCTGGGAGGGGCCCAGAGCCCGAGAACAACGAAAAACCGGTGGAGCCTGTGTCCCTCGCCTCGGGCCCCCTCCCCTTCGTGGCGAAGCGAGAAGAGGGGAGAGGCAGGGAGGCGAAGGACGGCCCGGGGATACAGGAGACGCGGAGATGGGGGGGGGCACTGGCCAGGCAGGGGGGGGCATGGGAGGACGAGGAACTACAAGGCTACAAGGCACAGAGGCGGCAGCCAGTCTTCCGCCAGCGCTCCGAAGAGGAAGAGGAGGCAAAGCGGCGCAGAAAGCACACACTCCGGCTCCAGCAAAACTACCAGGGAATGCCAGTCCTGGGAGGATGAGAAGGAGGACGAGGAGCATTCGCCTCCTCTTTCTCTTCCTCCTGCTCCGCTCCCTCCTCCACTCATCCACCGCGTCTCGTCGAGTTGCCGTCGTCGTCGCTGTCCTCCTCGCCCTCTTTGCCGCCAGCTCCACCCTCAAAGGCCCCAGGAAAGCTTCGGAGGCCCTCGTCGGCCCTCGGCGGCGAAGCTGGAGTCGCAGGTGGTCGCTTTGTTAGAGTGTCTGACCCCCTTCGTGGTCCATGATCCCTTGATCTGACGAGCCCCATGGCGCTTGCTGCAGTATAACAGGATGGACGAACACGCCACCGAAGATCACCATCGCCTGACATATGCCGCCAAGGAGCGGGCACGCCAATGTGTCCACACCGCCTGCGCATACCACAAAGCCTCCGTGCACCACAACGCCTGTGTGCACACCACAACGCCCAACGTGCCAACGGGCACATTAGAAACTTGCGAACACCGCGCTGCGCTTGTGAAGACGACAACAAAGAAGGTGGGAGGAATCGGGAGGGCGAGGTGGGAGGAGATGGATGTGGGAGGTGGCAGGACTCGGGGTACCGTTAGAGGAGGCGGGACAACTGCTGAGAACGTGGGCAGAGGCGGAGAAAGGGGGGGGGAGCTGGGAGCAGGTGGGATGGAGGCGAGAGGTAGGCAAAGTAGGAGGACGTGGGGCGTCGGCTGTACGGTAGGTCTGTGTCGTGACGCCTTGGGAAATGGCTTCTAGCACCGCGCGGACCACTCAATCTCGAAAACTCTGCGCAACTAGAAGCTCTGGGCCCAATGCTGAGCCATGATTTCGCACCGCGGGTTCGTTCTTGAGACCCCTCGAGCCCGAAAGGTCCCCCCTTCCCGGGCGCGTCACAACCTTTAACGCCCGCGTTGGGGTCGCCGCCGCGCCTTCTCTGCTCCAGCGAACTGTCTGCGGCCAGGGGCAACAGCGGACGACAACGAGAGCCCGCAGCCCCCACCCCCACAGTGGGGCCACCGAGCTGCGAATATGCTGCTCTCTGGCTCCCTCTCCGCTGCTACCTCCTACTTCCCCTCTGCCTCCTCACCATCGTCCTGCCCCTCTGTCTCTGATATCATTATGCTGCACCGCATCGCTTCCGTACACCACGACACCTGTAAAAAACACAGTAGCCGCGTGCGCTACGGCGCCAGTGCACACCACAATGCTTGCATGTGTCACCACGCCTGTGAGCACCGCAACACCTGTGCACACTACAAGTAGCCATGTGCACCGCAGCGCACGCGCACGCCACAGCGCCTGCGTGCACCACAGCGCCCGTGTACACCGCAATGCGCTGGCACTGCATGCACGCCGATATCTACGTGCGCCGGAGCGCCTGTGTACTCCTTGCAGTGTCCTTTGGGAAGTGCAATGATTCATGCTTGTGCCTGGCTTGCAAGCGTTACCATTACGGGGGGGTCTTGGGGGCGTTACCCCCGGGGTCGTTAAAAAAACAATCTCTCTCCATATCCACTGCGCCTCTGCTCCCTGGGAAAGGGAGCCCGAAACTCCAAGACGCAGTGGATCTGGATGAAACCTTGTCCGCGCCAGCGCCACGACCGTATCTAAAACAAGCGCGAGGCACGCGAGCCGCGGCAACCGCCGCCGCCGCCCTGGCCAGGCAGCCCGCCCCTCCTGGCTGGCAGCTGAGCGTCGGGGTACCAGTTCACGGCGGGCGAGGGATACAGGTCGGCATACATGGTCGGGCAGCCTCCCTGCAGCTCAGAGTCAGCAGCGTGACGGCCGGGAGCTTTTGGACAGCGCGCTGCCATGGCAGCCACGGCGCTACGCTATGCCTTGCGAGCGGACAGCGTGTCCCTCCACTCCGTGGGGCGGGAGGCTCGGGAAAGCTCGGAACGCTGGCCTCTTGAATGGGGACGGGGACAACGTGTCGCACCGAAGCGTGGTGGGCCGGAACTGGCGGAGCGACACGCTGTCGCAACGTGCCCGACCGTAGGCCTGCCCTCCTGCTCCCACCGGGAAGACCTCGAAAGCCCGCTGTCCGACCTATAGAAGTCCCCGGGTGGGGATAGGATGTCGCCTCCGTCAACTTTCGCGGCAGTGTTTCCCAGCCAGGGGGTAGGCTGGAGGCGCCAAGCAACCCTGACCCACTGGGCCACTGGGGAAAAGAGTGCCAGCCGGTCGGAAGAATTGGGCAGAAACATGAAGCAGGAAAGCGTTGACGTAGATTGGGCTTCCGCCAGCCCCCTGAAGGGAGAGGAAAGGTAAAACCACTCGGTCCTTGAAGTGGGAAGGCGCCTCAAGTAGATTGGAATCTGGGAGTCCAAAAATACCTGCATTGAGCGACCGACGGGTAAGGGTACACATGGCAACGCTAACACGGGGGGGGGGGGGGGGAAGGACGGAGGCTCAAACTTCCTCGTCCGAGGTCGCCGCGAGGCTCCCCGTCGCCACGGCTGCATCCGCCTCGAGATCCTGGTCGGAACGCGCCGCTGCATAGGCCATGGGGGCGATGTATCCCTTGGAGCCCAATGTCCGCACGCGTGGAGGGAAAAACGAGATTGCTGCAGATGCTGCACATCTGGTGGGCGTGTTTTCCACCACCACTACCATAAGTGGGAGGGGGATGGTGTCCTCCTCCTCCTCCCCCTCCTCGTCCTCCTCCTCATCCTCTACCTCCTTCCCCCCTCCAACTTATGGTGGTGGTGGTGGAAAACAGGCCCATGAACATCTGGGAGCTCTTACATAGGGCGCCACCAGGCCGTAAACGCACGAGTCAGCAAGAAGGACCGGTCCTGGGAAGAGGGGTCGAGACCTTCGGCAGTCCACCCAGGTCGCTCAACTTAGCCAATCGGGGCCCCACGGTGCGCAACGCGCGGTCACCTTGGCCTTCCCGCCGCCCCCTTGGAGAAGGGCAGCAGCTCTGGCCAAGACCGCTACGCGAGAGGCGGGAGCAGCTTAGTAGTTCCGCGTCCCAGATCCATTCTCAATGGCCGGGGGGCAAATCGAGGAAGACCGCCAGGATCGAACAGCAAACCAAATTTAAGGCTGGTTCACCATCCCCTGTCCTCCTCTTCTATTGGGCGCCCCTCCTCCACTCTCCCTGGCTATCGCCCTCCCCCCTCCTCCTCCTTCTCCTCCTCCTGCTCCTCCTCCTGCCACTTCCCCCCTCTCCTTCTCCGCTGCTGCCGCTCTCGGCCGCCGCCGCTGTTCCGCTTCTTTCCTCTGCGTCCTCGAGATGTAGTCTGTGTAAGCACGTACAGGCCTCTCGACCCTGTGCTGCAATCAGGGAGTCCCCAAGCTGATTGCTGGGGGAGGGGCTCCCCTAGAGTTTGACATCGGCGGGAGCATAGTGCCTCCCGAACGCCCTGCGGCCAGCGTCGTTCCCCGAACAGCGAGACTTGGCCATGCGCAGATAGCGAGCGAGCGAGCCTCCTCCTCTTCCTCCTCCTACTTCTCCTCGCGCCCCCTCCCATGATATATCGTGGCTGCTGCCCCGTCGATGTAAAAAATGCTCCTCCTCCTCCTCCTCCTCCTCCTCCTCCTCCTCCTCATCCTCCTACTGCTCCTCCTCTCGAGGAGCCCCTCACCCGTCCCCGCTCGCATCCCGCTGACTCCCCTCCACAATTACACAATATGAATACTACTCTCCTCTCTCCCCTGATGACGTCCGGAAGATATCTGGCCCCCTCCGCGTACTGCTTTGTTCACACCGGATTCCCGGGAACTGGGTTTTCGCTTGGGCTGCTTTTCAAGGTGCTATTCCTGCTGAGGCGCTGTCCTCATTTTCGGGCTTTCGCTCGTTCCGAAACTCCGAAACGTGTTCCCGCCCGCTGCAGCGTTGGCCTCATTTCTGCGCTTCCGCTCGTTCCGAATCGCTGCAACGCGGGCCTCATGTTCGCGCTTCCGCTCGTTACAATCGTGATCCCGCTGCAGCGCTGGCGTCCTTATTTCCAGTGCCATGCCACGGCATAGTTTTCGGTCCTTGCAAAGAAACCCCAAAATCTAGGAAATGCCCCCCCCCCCCGAAATAAGCATCGAAAGTGACTACACATTCGTTGTCGATTCCATGCTATGCCATGTAATGCCATGCTATGCCATGTAATGCTACGCCACGCTACGACATCCGACTCTGCGAATAGACCGGATTTCTACGCCATGGTAAAGGATGGGAGGGAGGGGTAGGACGTCAGCTACGATGTGAGCGCACCCAGCTTGCCCGCACCCCCTCTGCCTCCCACTCCCCCCCCTCCCCCTTAACCTCCCGCTGTCGTCCCCGTCCTCCCCCTCATCTCCACCCCCCCTCCTTCCGCCACCACCTTTCCATTTTTTAATGACACCTCCCTGTCGAAGACTCTGCGACGGCCCCGCCATGTACTATCATGAAGCTCTGGAAGCTGCTATGAATTCACGGATGGAGGGCGTGCCGTTTTCAAAGTGTCGCTCTCGCTTACGCGACGCGCACAGTTCGTCGCAGTCGCTCGCAACAGCTTCAAGGATGGAAGGCGGGTCGGTTTCGAAGTGTGGCTCTCGCGTAAGCGCTGCACACATTAGTCTCAGGCGCTCGCAGCAGCTTGAAGGAGAGAAGGCGGGTCGGTTTCAAAATGTGGTCCTCGCTTGATCGCCGCGCACACTCGTTTCAAAGGTTCGCACCAGCTTCAAGGATCTCAAATTGTGACTCTCGATTCAGCGCCGCGCGAATTGTTTACAAGCGTGCAGATATTCAAAGGAATGAAGGCGGGTTCTGTTTACAATGCGGCTCTCGCGACAAACCCGCGCCCGTTCGTGGAGACGCAATTCACCCTGCAATTTCAGCTGTTTCACGGCTTCGTAGAGATGAATTCCAAGAAACAACGTTCCGGTACGATTGAGGATTGAAGACGCAACAGTCACGTTGTCCCGCGGCGTTGGCATCCAAGGAATGGTGTTCTGGCATGGTTTATGACTGTCAGTACGCAACAGTCACGTTGACTCGCGGCGTTGAAATCCCAGCAATGATGCATCGGCACGATTGAAGATTCTCAAGCAGGTGGTTTTCATTGGGACATATGTAGAGCGAACTTGGAGCAACAATTGTTTACAGTGGTCCTCCTGCTCCTCCTCCACCTCCTGCTCCTCCTCTCCAGGAGCCCCTCCCCCTCCCCTACTCGCCTCCCGGCGGGCCACCCGCAGAGACATGCACATATACACCATCTGCGGTCCCGCGTGCACGAGTGGCCGCGTTCAAACGCAGGCCAGGGGAAGCTGATCGCGTCATCATGTGCACGCATGTGGTTGGCTCCCTCCCCACCTCTCGACCCTGGCGGCCTCTTGCGGCCCTGGCTGCCCCAGTACCAGCAGCTCGTCATCCTGAGCCGGTTCCTGACTGTCCCAGGGCCCGTGGAGGGCCCCAGGAAGCAAAAATCTATCAAAAACCTCCAGATCCGTTTCCTTCAGGGCCCGTCTCCTGCATTCAGGCCGTGCGGATCTCCCAAAATTCATGTTTAAATCATGTTTGTCTTTCCACTCACGGCGAGAGCCCCTCCCGCTCCCACTGTTCCCTTCTGGCCGGCTTCCCTCCACAGATCATTTGATACTGGATTCTTTCGGTCGCGATCGGTAGCGACCGATCGACACCCCAAATCGGTCGCAACCAATCGGTCGCGATCGATTTTCAAGAAGATCGGTAACGAACGACACCAGAATTTGAAGCAAACAGATAGCGACCGGTCTCGCCGGTCGCGACCAAGAATACCTGGCATCCCATGGTCATAGGGGAAACCATAGGAGGTACCGCTACCGCTACTCCCGGAACCGCTCCTGGGGCAAGGATTTCGAGTAGAATGCAGCAGCGGTGGCAACGAGGGCCTCCAAGGAGGCCGAGAAAGGCGAAAACGAAGGAAGGGTAGCGGTATGGGTACCTGCTCCTCCTTTGAGATCAGGAATCCACCCCCCCCTGACCACAGCGGCCTCTTCCGCCCCTAGCTGCCCCGGCCTCCGCACTACCACGCAAGCCGCCGGGCCGAAATAAAACGGCTGCGGGCGCGGCGCGGGGGCAGGACGCAGCGACGCGGGACGCTGAGGGATAGACGCCTAGGAGCCGGCAGGACTGACGCCGCAGGGTTTCCGCCTCCCGCCGAAACACTTGTGTTGAACTCCCCGAAATGGTGATCGGGCACGATTCGCGGTCGTCAAGACACAACAGGAGCGGTCATTCGCGTCGTCGAAGTCCCAAGCACGGCATTCTCCTCCTCCTCCTCCTCCTTCCTCCTCCTCCTCCTTCTCCTCCTCCAACTCCTCTCCCCACCACTTCTCTCCCACATCCTCTCCAGGCCGACTGCATAGTTCCCTTGTTTTCCGCACTGTCGCCTCTAGCGCTTCGCTCTGTCCGCCGCCCCGAGTCCGACCGATTGGCTCCCCCTCCTCCTCCTCCTCCTCCTCCTCCTCCTCCTCCTCCTCCTCCTCCTCCTTCTCTTCCTGCCCAACTCCTCCTCCTCCAACTCCTCCTCCAGCTCCTCCTTCTCCTCCTCCTCTGCCTCGTCCGCCTCCTCCTCCTCCTCCTCCTCCTCCTCCTCATCGTCCGCCGCCTCCTCCACCTCCCTCCTCCTCCTCCTCCTCCTCCTCCTCCTCCTCCTCCTCCTCCTCCCCCTTCTCTTTCTCCTCCTCCTTCTCGACCACCGATGGAGACACTCTGGTCGCAATGACGATTCATGAATAACAGCAAAACCGATCAGCTCGCAACATCAGGCGCAAAAGAACCCACGGATGCTGGTCCATAAACGGGTCGATCAACATCCAGATTGCTAACACTTCACCAGAATGCTAGGCAAAATCAGCCGAACTATCGACCTGATACCCCCTGCTCCCCTACCTTCTCATCTTCCTGCTTGTCCTCCTCTCCCCCTCATGTTCCTGCTCCTACTCTTCCTCCTCCTCCTCCTGCTCCTCCTCCTCCTCCTCCTCCTCCTCCTCTTTCTTCACCTCCTCTTCCCCTTCCTCCTCCTCCTCCTCCTCCTCCTCCTCCTCCTCCTCCTCCTCCTCCTCCTCCTCCTCCTCCTCCTCCTCCTCCTCCTCCTCCTCCTCCTCCTCCTCCTCCCGATGGCGGACTACAGCGATGGCTGACGCCACCGCGTTCGGAAAGTCGGCGGGCAGTTGGGACAGCATCGCGCAAGGACAGCGGCAAGCACGAAACGAGAGGCACTTCCCCCCACCTGAGTTGAATGTCTTCATCTTCCTGCTCCATCCCACCCCTGCGTCCGCATGTGCTTCTCCTGTCTGCTGCTCTGTTCCCAAACTCCCCTACTCTGGACCTCTCCTCTGGTGGCTGCGCCCGAATCTGGCCTCCTGCTCCTCCCCTCCGCCTGCTTCCCATCTTGGGGGGGGGGTCGGGGAAAGGGGTCGCCCCAATATGTTCTGTTCCCAGTAAGAAGACAAAACTTCAAAATCGTACACTTTGTGAGCGTCTTCTTTTTCGACGTTTCGACATGGGGCAACATGGGGGAAAGGGGGGGTCTGGCTCTGGACCTCTGCTCAGCGCGATCGTGTTGCAACAGTGCGTCCGATGGGGGAGACTCCACCTGCTCAAAACATGCGCCAGAAACAGCCAACATCTACTCCATCGGGGGGGGGAGGGGGCATGTGCGAGGGCCCGCGCCGATCGGCAGAACAATGCATGAGAAAGCTATCACGTTCCGAGGCCCGCGCGGATCTCGCGGCTCGGCGCTGGGCCCCTCCCTGGCGCGCGGGGCGCGCCAGGGGCGGCGCCAGAGGCGCCGCCAGGCGGCTCTGGCGCCGACCCGAGCAATCGGCGACACCCTCCGAGAGCTTAGGTTGGTGAAGTTTGTTGTTCCTCGAGCGGGGGATGCTCCAGGCGCCCCTGGCCCAAGGCGCCCCCGGCGCTTCGCTCCACGTTCGAGCCCATGGGGCCCTCTGGGCCTCGTGACGGGTGCTCGGGAGGCCGTGGGGGGCCTCCTTCGAAATCCTGCTCCTCCTCACTCCTCATCCCTCCTCCCCCTCCTCCTGCTCCTCTTCCTCCTCATCCTCATCCTCATCCTCATCCTCCCTCCTCCTCCTCCCTCCTCCTCCTCCTCCTCCTCCTCCTCCTCCTCCTCCTCCTCTCAGCGCAGCCGCGCGCGGCTCCGCGCCGGCGCACAGCAGGCACTTCAGCGTGTCCGCGCAGACGCGGCCGGAGATGCCCTCGACCTGCGGGCGCGCCCGCAGTCTCTGAAGGGGGGGGGGCGGCCGTCGGCCCCAGCTCGGACGCCGCGGCGGCGACGGCTCCGCCCCCGACGAGCGCGGCGGGCAGTCGGCTGAGCTCGGCGGCCGCCGAGGGGCCAGGGCAAAGAGAGGAGGCGAGAGCAGCACGCGCTCCCGAGGGCGAGGCAAGGACACCGGCACGTGCTCCTGAGGGTGAGGACGACTGAGAGGTGGGCAGGATGGTGACGGCTGAGGGTGGGGACGACTGAGGGTATAGAGAGGAAGGCGCGGCTCGCAGGACCCCATGGGGGGCTCCCGTTCGAGCGGGGACCCCCATCCGACTTCACACACCAGTAGCTCCCCGGAGAAGACTGGGGGTCGCAGGAGTATGGGTGCTAGTTGTCAGCTCGCGATGATGGGCGACATGGTCGCGGGGTGTCCTGAACTTCTCGCTACGGGGAGGACAAAACAAAATCAGGGCGGGCGGACTTTGGCAATTGTTGCCCTGCCCTCACCAGGCCCCGGGGCCGTCAACAAAATGACTCGAGATGGAAAGCCACTCACCGAGAAGAGGTCTAGACCTCTGGAGGGCCACGTTGCGAAAGAAGCACGGCGTCGTGTGGACCAGGGGCGGCGAGAAAAGGGATGCAACAGAACAAGGGCGACCGCGAACGATCCAGACCCGAGGGTGGACGCCGCGTAGACAAGCGGGTCGGGCAACATCGTGCGCCCGACCGACTCGTTGGTGCTCTTACGGGCTGCCGAACGGTCTGCCTGACTCCTTGCCAGATGCCCGACAACGTCGTTTCTGTCCCAGCGCGGACCACTTGAGGTCTGGACCGCTTCCCCAGCACCACCTTTGTCAGTCAAGACTGTCTGGGGCCTCAGTGAGGGCCCCCGGAGGTCGGAAAGTGACCAACACCTCCCGCCGTTATTATCTCACAGTGCAAAGCCCTGGGATCCAAGCGTCGCATTTTGTGGCGTCTGGCGCCGCAGATCAGCTTGGCCGCAGAGAATTGGAACCCCGGGGCTGTGGTCGCGATTCTTCGAGGTTCCGTCTTTTCGATCGCAACGTCAGGTCTCAGGGGTGGGGTCGGCTACACGCAAGAATGACCATGGGCAAGAGTGAGCAGCCGTTGCATGCGGTGCGACTGCAGCGGTATGCGTGCTTGTCTTGGCCCCGCAGCGCCCCCCGAAAGCCGCGCACCAAAGGTCACTCCGGCGAAGGGAAGAAATCATCATTAACATGGAAACTCGGAGGGCCGCGCGGATTCCTCGGATCGGCACTGGGGCCCCCTGGCGGCGCCTCCGGCGCGGCCCCTGGCCCCCTGACGCGCCCCGCGCCCCATGAAGGAGGGTCCATCGCCGATCCGAGAAATCCGCGCGGACCTCATAGTGTTTATGTTTACGTCATTGTTCCACGTTTGAAGTGCAGCCGATGGCGGCCACCCCCGATCTCCGAAACGCACGCGATTCACAAAAATATGGCTTCCTCCGTGCACGCCACCTGTGAGGCGATCTCCCCGCGATGGGGTCCTTCCGTGCATGCTATCCCCCTCTGCCAGGGCCTTCTCCATGCACGCGATCCCCAAGGTGGAATCTAGGCGTGAAATGAGCGGGCTGGCGGCGCCAAATTGCCCGCCACACATGCGATGACATGATTTTAACAATACGGGGTCCCCAAAAGTCCCGGCCCCTGCACCACGGCTGGTTTTTCATGCCAAGTCGCTCTTTGACGGTCCCAAGGCCCGGTAGGGAAAATAAGAATCGCACCAGAGAACAACCCCAATCAGTAGATGAAATGATAATTAGCGATATGGATATTGAGATCGATTGTGAAATCGATAGTGGAATCGATCGTGAGGACGATTGTAAGGTCGATCGTGAGAACGCTAGCGAAATCGATTCAATGAGATCGATAGTGAGATCGATCATGAGACCGCCCGTGCGATCTAGAATGAGATCGATTGTAAGATCGGTGATGAGATCGGTTGTGGGATCGAGAACGAGATCTGTAGGGATGTCGACAAACACATCGACCAAGACACGGGAACCCGGGAATCCCGCCGCCCACCGAACTTGGCCCGGAGCCCGGAACCGGGAACCCGGGAGCCCGGCCTCCGGCCGAAATCGGCCCCGAACATTCGCCAAATCCTCCAATATCCGCCATAGGGACCCCTTCCACCCGTCGCGATCCCTTCTTGCCGCGAGCACGTCCGGGTCGCACGCCATCCTGGCGACGCCCGCAGTGCGTGCAGTCGATGGCGGGGCGGCCCCGCGCCGATGCCGGGAACGGGGCGGGCCCCCGGGGACCCGCACGGCCAGAGACTGCGCGGCCGCGCCAGGGCCGCGCCCTGGGCCGCCGCCAGCGCCTGCGGGCCGGGAGGGGGCGGCGGGGGAGGGCAGGAGGGGAGGGAGGGCAAGAGGGGAGGAGGGGAGGAGGGGAGGAGGGGAGGAGGGCAAGATGGAGAGGGCAAGAGGTGCAGGGAGGGGATGCCAAGAACGGAGAGCAAGAGGGGAGGGGAGGAGGGGGGAGGCGAGGAGGGGAGGGGGGGATGAAGGGTGTGGGAGGAGGGGAGGAGGGCGGACGAGGAGGTGGAAAAATAGGGCGACAACGAGGCGCGCCGTGGGTCGAGTGTCTCTCGAGTCCGAGGAAGGAACAGGCCAGCAGATGGCCTTCGACAAAACTTAGATCGTAGGCACTCTCAAAGTGCATGTGAATGAGGGCCATCGAAAACTCGCGCAGCTTTTCACGCGCGGAACTAAAGGCGGAAGGGGAGGAGGAAGGAAGGCGGAGCGGACTGGGGGAGAAGCGAGAGGTGAGTCGAGGGGAAGACGCGGA